GAAATCAGTATTATTATATTCTCTCCATTTTAAAGATGAGGAAGCTGAGGCTCCAAGTTATTAAATAACTGACTTCAGTTCACGTACAACTGAGATTTGAATACAGATTTCTCTTGTGCCAAAGGTCAAGCCGCTTCCCCTGGACTGGTGATTCCCAGCCTTTTTGAACCTAAGCCCTTTCTAAAGGCAAACACTTCACAGCCCTGCCTATGGCAGTCATCCCACTTTCAGCATCTCCTGGTGGAAAAAGTATGTAATGACCACAAACTACCGGAATCCAGGAATTCTGTGAGTTGCAACAGCATCTGATACAGTCTTAGAATCATGACACCTGCTGTGTGAGACGGGAGACATTTAATTGGACGACAGCAGTTCACAATTGTGTAGTTTCTTAGGCCCTCGAAGTTGCTGGGTCTTTGTCCCCAAAGATGGGGCACCCTGAGCTGTACCATGAATCATCTGAAGAGTCTGGAGACCCTGAGCCTTCTTATTATGTAGGCCAAGCCTAAGGGACTTTTGTTAATACAGGTGATGTCGGTGCTTCTTGGGAGGGTCACCACGAGCCTCTGGGTCACATTGTCGGAAGCCAGCAGAGGAGACTGAGGCAGAGTCAGCTTTGGAAGGACCGGCCATTATTCTTGCCCACTGCAGACTGCAGTCAGTCACAGTAGCCTCTGTTCCCCTGGAGCAGAGCTCTGGAAACCAGCAGTTGAAGAGCTGAGAACCCTGGTTAAATACTCTTCCATTTACTTTCAGCCAAGTCAGCTCTCTTCGTTTGCTTTTATCCAGTCTACAGAGATCCTCAACTAGAGCCTCTCGGAAGAAGTTATACCGGGAGGAAAATTTTTAAAATTAAAAAAATAAACTTTTTGCATGTATTCTCAACATGAAGGGTTGCTGAGTCCCACAGCTTGCTTTCATTCATCCCACAAATACTTACTGAGCAGAGCATCTGTGCCAGTTGCTGTTCTAGGCACTGGGGATTCCCTGGCTCAACCCTTGAGCTCACGTGTAGTAGGAGACAGATCATAGGAGAGACTGTGAAAGTAAAATAGGCAGTAAGTCAGATGGTCTCAAGTGCTGTGGAGAAAAATACATCAGAGAAGGGAGATGGGGCACCTGGTAGGGGTGGGAGGTTGCATCTTCCTCCCTTTGGAGGGTGGCAGTTCAACAAAGAGGTGAAGGATCAGGTCGGGGGTGAGGCTTGTGGATGTTGGAAGGAAGCGTATCAGGAGGAGAGATCAGCAAGGGAAAGGCCTGGCATGTTCTGGAACAGCAAGGCCAGTGTGGCTGGAAGAGAGTGAGCAAGGGGAAAGTGTGGGGAAGGTCATGCAGGGCTTCGAGGGCTGTTGAAATGACTTTAACTCTGACTCCACAAGAGATGGATCCCACAGGAGAGTTTTGAGCACAGGAGTGAAATGATCTGACTTTCCTGCAGTGTCATTTACATATGACACAATCCCCCCATTTTAAGTGTACAATTCAGTGATTATTAGCGAATGTGCAGAGTTGTACAAACCATCACCACGACCCAGCTGTAGAACATTTCCAGCACCCCCAAAAGGTACCTCATGCCTATGACTCAAATTTTAAAGGGATCTCTTTGGGTCCTGTGTTAAGAATAAAAAAAAGAGGGACTTCCCTGGCAGTCCAGTGGTTAGGACTCAGTGCTTTCACTGCCGTGGTCCCAGGTTCAATCCCTGGTCAGGAACTAAGATCCCACAAGCCACGGGGTGTGGCCAAAAAAAAAAAAAAAGGAATGAAAATAAGAGGTAAGAGCAAAGACAGTGTGGGAAGGTAATGTTTCTCACCATACGTGAGTGAAAAAAAGGACTGAAAGTGGAGGGATAAAGACAGGACTAATAAAGCTTTTCTTCTGAATTGCCCCAGGGATGGAGCCTCGTTAATGCCAAAGGCATAAGAATGAAAGGCCTCCAGCTTCAACAGTAAAAGTACTATATTAATAACATACACAAGACTGTTTAAAACATGAGCAATCCAAGCCCAAAAGCTGAACCTGAACTTGAGTCCTGAACTTGAAGGTGACTGGTGCACCTTGGATCCCTGACTATTTATAAAACTATGGAACTATATCTTAATACCTTAAAAATTCACAAGAAGAAAAGTTGGTGGTAGCAATATAGGAATAAATCCCAACATGTTTCAGCAAACATTCGTGGTCCCTGCAGGAAAAAGACAGTGAGGTCATCTTATGTTCGTTATTATTAAAATGTTAAATGCCAGTTTCTTGCGTTGGTCTTGAAAAGCGGGGGTATTCTGCGCTGAACTCATGTCATGATGTGACGGATCATCTGTGCCCATGCAAGGGGACTGCTTGACACTAAAAGTGGTACCTGAGTGAGGATTCTCTGTATTTTACCTGGAAGGCTGAAATCTTCTGGTATTATAAGGTTTTGGACCAAACAGTGAATTTTGACATTTTTTTCTCCAGCATCTACTTCAGCAGCCAGTTTTCCTAACTCAGGTTTCCCCTCCTGGACCGTCTCATTCCGGGAACAGTACAGGATTCTCCCTTGGGTGGGTCTAAAATGATTCTCACCAACTTTCTCTAAGCTAACACCTGTGCATTACCAAGAGCCTGCCACGTGGCTTCTCTCTAGGTATGCAACTTCCTAGAGAGCAAATCATCTTTTAAAACATAAGACAGGCACATCTGACTGTGGCAGCAGTCTGAGGATAAAGGGGAAGAGGTCTAGAAAGGCAGTTTAAAGCCAGACTTCAGAGATAGGTAAATGTGTTTCCAGCTCGCCACCTACCCTGACTTGGTTTGACTGTGTTCTGGACTGTTTTGTGAGATTCAGCTACTAGTCTCAGCTCAGCAAAAGACACCTACCTTTGTTTGCTTTTCATAACACCTGTCTGATGGCTGGTCACAGGATCCTGACAGTTGCTCAGGGTAACCTGATAGGGAATGCTGCAGTTCCCCTGCCGGCCACAAGGAGGTCCCAGCCCTCCAGGCGTCGGCACCCAGGGCTGCAAAGCTGCCCCAGCTCCTCAGATGGAGAGATTCTGGGGGACAGGGCAGGTGCCTTGAGTGGCCGGCGTCCAGAGAGAGCTGCTAAGCTCAGTCGTTGACCCTGGGCCCACAGCCGTTTGGCACCGTGGGAGCAATGATAGCCCACCTGCGATCGCTGTGCTTTGAGTTGTTACCCGTAAACAGAGAGAATGGCCCCAGGCCCCGACAGCTCCCCATGCCGGGTTCTGGGCCCAGCTGTATTCCCACTACCTGTGTGACCGTGGGCATGCCCCACCCCCTCTGAGACTCCGTGTTTCCTCATCTGCCGAGAGAAGGGGTCAGAATCAGAGCTACAGCCTTGCCAACAGCATAAGCACCTGAAACAGCCCTTACATCAAACAGTATCTGAGTCATCCTTGCAATTCAACACAAACTACCAGCTTCCTGAAGTTTTCCATCCTGCTGCCAGATTATCCTATCCCTGGAAACAGAGGAGTGAAATCAGAATTCTGTGCCCTGGAATCTTATAACTCAGGGCCAGAGAGGAGCACAGGGGTTCTCAAACTCCTGTTAGCCTGGAACCGTTTACTCAGACAAACTCTGACACAACAGCCCAAGTGGAAAACATTTAGACGCACTCTGGTTAGAAACCGGAGCCCAGAGAGAGGAAGCCACCTGTCCTGTGTCCCTCAGCAAAGAGAGTGGTGGGACTGGCTGAGCTGTCCCTCCGGGACCCACTCCCCAGGAATGACACGGATTATGCTACTCCCCAAACTTGGGGGGGCTCAGAACCTGCGGAGAGGCAGGGGCACAGGACAGGGGACGGGGCGGGGAGACACTGACTTCCACTGTGTGTTCACTATGCTGGCGTTTTCCCCACCATGATTTCATCCCCATAAAGACCACCAAGGCAGTACCATAGCCACCTGTAGGCTCAGAGAAGTTAAGTGACTTGTCTCAGAAGTCACTGAGCCGGGATTTGAACCCAGGGCTTTGCAACTGCAAAGCACATATCCTGGCTGTCCCAGGGGATGGCAATGTATTTACTCATTCATTCATTCACACCTTTACTGAGCCCCAATTATAGACTAGGCACTGTCCTATACAGCTGTGACCAAGGCAGCCGGAGCCCCGCCCTCCCTGAACCCAGATATTAGAGGAGGAGACAGACGTAAACAAGTGAGGTGTGACAAGAAGAAAAATAGAGCCGGGTCAAGGGGTGACTGGGGGTGGAGGTGCACGTGCACCCCCAGGGGTCTAGAGCAGTGCTTCTCAAAGTGCGGTCTGCACTCCCATGTGTGAGCTGTTGGTTTCCAGTCTGCAAGATGATCAAAGAGACGCTACTTTGCTGATCTATACTTTCAAGACAGACAGCCCACGGGCCAGCCCTCATCCACGAGCTGCGCTCAGAGGAGCCCTGGCCTAAAATACTCTGAACCACTAGGTCAGTGCAGCTGCTGCGTGTACTTCATGTCCCAGGATGCTGAGCCCCCCTCTCCTCTCCACTCCCACCTTCCCGCCAGGCTGTACAGACCCCAGAGGAAGGCTGTGGTGTCTCCTGCCCGGCAAGTGCAATGCGCTAGGGGCCATCAGTCCCTTCTAAAGGGAGACACCCCATCTGAGTCCACGGCCAGTTGCGAGCTTCATGGAGGGTGGAAATAGACCTGGGTCCCGATTTGGGCCGTGCCACTTACTGGCTATGTGATCTTGAAAATGTCTTTGGTTTTCCTTAACTGTGAAATGGGGATGATGATGCATTGCAGGAATAGATCGGGCACTGGAGGGCCTGGAACTCAGTAAATGGAAGCCACCGTACTGTGTGGGCATGTGTGTGTCTGTGTGCACGACTGTGTTTGTGCAGGTGCCTGAGCATGTGTGTGCATGTCTGCATGAGTGTGGGTGTGCATATGCACGTGTGTGCACGTGTACGTGACATCCATTTCCTCCACCACCATTGGAGAGTCGCTCTCAGGACCCGCTGTGGCCAGGGGTGCTGACAGTCATTTCCGGGGTCTCTCTCCAGATTGCCAAGGGATCATCGAGGACGTTGTCCTGCTGGGCGCGCCCGTGGAGGGAGAAGCCAAGCACTGGGAGCCTTTCCGGAAGGTGGTATCTGGAAGGATCGTCAATGGCTACTGCAGGTCTGTCCAAACCCTGTGCCTGTGAGGAGGTGGCAGTGCTTACTGAGCACCTAGTGTGTCCAGGCCCTGTGCCCAGGACACAGATGTTGGAGGCCAGGCCCTTGTCCGGGAGGATCCCAGGGGCCGGTAGGACACCAGCCCTACTGGAAGCAAGGCCCGGGCCAGGTGTTCTGACCTGGGCAGCATCTATCCCCATAGGATGATGGGCAGCAGGGACAGATCCTAAGAAAGGTTTCCCTGTGTCGGGCTGAGACCAGTTTACAGGATGACACGAGAGGCCAGGCTGGTCACCGTGATCTGGGGGAAGAGGAGTGGGATGAGACTGAAAAGCAAAGATTGGGCCGTCAATGGGGGGGTCTCTGAACGCCGACTGGGGAGCTCACGTGTGGGTTATCTGGCCGCGCAGGAAGGGAGTGGGGAGTGTCCAGGCTGAGCTTTCAGAGCAGTGTCTTGGGGCAGGGCTGACAGCCATGGGACAGCCAGCACCCACACCACACGACAGACCCTCCTGCAAGAGAGGGGGGCTGTGAAGACTGACAGCTGTGGGGCTGGAAAGGAGGCATCCCTGGGCTTGGCTTTGAGGAGGACTTGAGAGGTTTCAGCCAAAGCCGTGCCCTCGACTCTGGGGAAGAAGAGAAGATGAAGGCCCCCGCTGAGACCTCAGGAGATTGGCCTGAGAGGACGCCCGGGCCCTTCAGCCTCCAGATGAGGCAAAGGAGCGAGGTGACAGCGTAAACACGAGAACAGGGATTTGGAATCGCACAGACCTGGGTCTTAACATCGGCCTCAGTTTCTCCATCAGTGAAGGGGGGATAATAGTAGTGACTCCCCCCAGGGTTACGATGATAGTCCAGCGATTTACAGAGTTGCCCATGGTGGGTGCCTGCTCCGTGAGTGACAGATGGTGTTACCGTTCATCAGCAGCAGCATCGAAGCGCCAACCTCGCGCCAGGCACTAGCTGGAACCTCAACAGGGACAAGCCCCCACCTGGCCCTGTGCAACCTCGCACGCAGCAGCGCAAATAGGCAGGAAACAGGCAGCTCCGGGCTTGTCTGCGACACCCAAATCCAGAAGCTCTGAAACCAAAGGCTTTTCGCCAAGTGTGGTGCACACTCATTTAGCGACAGGAGGTGAGACTTGGGGAAACGGCTGACTCACGGGGCTATGAACGTGAAGTGTCCAGCAGGGCGGCTGGAGATGCAGCGCTGGAACTGAGAGAGATGCAAACTGGAGCGAGGGCCAGTGGGAGGTCAGCTTCGGCTGAAGCCAGAAGGACAGGTGAGCTCATTTGAAAGGCAAAGCCTAGAGAAAGAGGAGAGTGCTGGGTTCCTGATTCTAAGGAATATGGGTCAGGGTGGGAGGAGGGAGAGGCTCCAGCCTGAGGTTAAGGGCAACTCAGAATCATCCCACATACATGCCCAAGACGTCCTGCTGGACGTGGGGCTACAAAGATGAACAAGAGGAGTTCACGTCTAGCAGAAAAGACACATATGGAAACAGACAGTTATTCAAAAAAAAACCATGAAAAATGCAATAATGCAGTGATGGGGGAGTGGATATGACAAGTACTAGACTCTTACCACCTGCCAGATCCTGTCTCTGTTGTCATTTTCTCCGTTAATCTAATCGTGCCCCAGACCCTAAGGGGTTTGTATTATTAAGCCCATCTTACAAGTGAGGAAACTGAGGCCCAGAGAAGTTAAGTCACAAGGCCAGTTAACTTTAATTTTGATCTAAGCCCAGCCATCCCAAGTAGAACCTGCAAGTGAATAGAAGAGATTTGGACAGTCTTTATCATTTTGATAATTTAGCCCATGTCTAGTTCAGAGTTAAAGATAAAGATCGTCTTTAGCCTTGGATAGAGGGCGTTAACCCGGACACGGGAGTTCAGCCAATCAGTATGGCTTTATCACTCATATTCTAAGCTGAGTTCTTAGAATCAGGATATGGTAGAAAGAACAAAGAAACAAAGACAAAGAGCTCATGCAAATCAATAAGAAAAAAAAAATCTGATAAGAAAAATGGCCAGAGGGACTTCCCTGGGGGTCAAGCGGTTAGGACTCCCGAGCTCCCAATGCATGGGCCCCAGGTTCAATCCCTGGTCAGGGAGCTAGATCCCACATGCATGCTGCAACTGAGAAGTCTGCATGCCACAACTCAAGATTCCACATGCTGCAACGAAGACCTGGCACAGCCAAAAATAAATAAATAAACAAAAATTAGAAAATGGCCAGGGACTTCCCTGGCAGTCCAGTGGTTAAGATCCCATGTTCCCAGTGCAGGGAGCACCGGTTCGAACCCTGGTCAGGGAACTAAGATCCCACATGCTTCATGGTGCAGCCTAAAAAATAAAAAAATAAAAAGAAAGAAAATGGCCAAAGGATATCTACACATAAACATGGAATAAATACAGTCAATAAACTTTTGAAAATGTACTCAACCTCATTATTAGTGAAATAAATGCAAACTAAAGTCAGTAAAATACTATTTATCATCCGTCGGATTATCGGACATCTGACACATGAATAACATTCAGTGTTGGTGAAGATGTGGAGAAATGGGCGCTGTCCTACCCTGTCGGTGGCAGCTGAATGCAGTGGAGGATAGTTGGCAATATCTATCCAAATTTTTAATGTGCCGATCTTCTGATCCCACAGATCCTGACTTCTGGGATCCTGCTGTACTAGATACATGCACAGAGATGGAGGCACAAAGGGGATCCTTGCAGCTTCATTTATAATTAAAAATTTAAAACAACCTGAATGACCACAAAGAGGGGAACAGTTAAGGGGAAAAAAGCAAGTGCGACAATACGTACTGTGATCCCATTTACGAAGGAAGATGTTTCTGCGTGTGCATATATGTATCTGTATGTATGAGAATGGACAGGCAGGTCCAGAGGGACCTGAGAAACTAATAAGAGTGGTCACCCCTAAAGAGTGGACAGGGATTGGAGGTAGGACTTAAAAGAGACTTTTTTTTAATTGGTATGTCGTTGATTTACAACATTGTGTTAGTTTCAGGTATACAGCAAAGTGATTCAGTTATATATGTGTGTGTATATATATATATATTTATTAATAAAAGAGACTTTAATTTTTTAAGTAAGGACAGTTTAAAAAATAAGAAAAGAGCATCCTAATGTCCATAGCAGCACTATTTACAATAGCCAGGACATGGAAGCAACCTAAATGTTCATCAACAGAAGAATGGATAAAGAAGATGTGGTACATATATACAATGGAGTATTACTCAACCATAAAAAAGAATGAAGTAATGCCATTTGCAGCAACATAGATGGACCTAGAGATTGTCATACTGAATGAAGATATTGCTTATATGTGGAATCTTAAAAAGGGGTACAAATGAATTTATCTACAACACAGAAATAGAGTTACAGATGTAGAAAATAAACTTACGGTTACCAGCGGGTAAGGGGTGGGGGGAGGGATAAATTGGGAGATTGGGATTGACATATACACACTACTCTAGATAAAATAGGTAACTAATAAGGACCTCCTGTATAGCACAGGGAACTCTACTCAATACTCTGTAATGGCCTGTATGGGAGAAGAATCTAAAAAAGAGTGGATACACGTATATGTGTAACTGATTCACTTTGCCGTACAGCAGAAACTGACACAAATTGTAAATCAACTCTGCTCCAAAAAAATCTTTAAAAATTAATTAATTAAAAACAAGAAAAGAGAAGGAATGGCCACCACATTGATGGCAGACAGCCCTCAGATAAAATCCTGGCTCCACCATTTACCACTCAGGTGGCTTTGGACAAACCAATCTGAAGCTCAGTATTCCTGCCTGTAAGATGGGAATAACAGTCCCTCCTGCACAGGGCTTCTGGGGAGATTAAATGAGATTATGTAAGATGAAGGCTGGCGCTTTATACGCGCCCAGTAAACAATAGCGGTTATAATTATTATTACTGGGCATATTCGCAGCACACGATTTTTTTGATGCTTTCATAAACAGCAAAGGGAAAGAATTAAAATTGCATGTGTGCAATATGAAAGCAGCAGAATCTTATTAAACCCATCTGTTCCGTTGAGAACCTGAGGCTAATAAGTTTGGTTTCCCATTATTTTGTGAGATCCTGAGCCATCTCTCTGGAGAGAAAAAGGAGGAGGGGGAGAGGAGGAAGAAGGAGAGAAGAGGGAAGGAATGCACAGACCAAAACAATAACTGTAATTTTTTGATTAAATTAAGCACTGACCAGGAATTCATATTCTTGGCCCCCAAAAGTGTTTTAGTTGCCGTAAACCTACTTAAAGACTGGGAGTGGAATGAGGGGCTGGGGGGAGCTTCAGGCCAACACTCCCAAACTATATACGTTTATAAATTTATCATGTACATTAATAAAGCTCTTTGCAAGTTTAACTTGCTTGGGCTTTCACGAACCCCCTGGAAGCCAACCGGGCGAGTGATTCTGTTCCCTATTATACTGTGAGGAAACTGAAGCTCAGAGAGGGTCAAGTGCCTCACCAAGGTCACACAGCAGAGCCAGGATGTGAACTCAGGTGAGACTGTCTCCCTGATAGTTGGGATATCTGCAATGAGAGGGTTTTGTTCTGAGCCCCCGGGGGACTCCCTGTGTGGTCTCTGCTCCAGTACCGTGTGGGGATAATGGTAGAAGGAGCGGGGAGGACCCCCTGCCCACAAGTGGTTCCAGGCCTGTCAGCAGCCACGGCACACCCTTCAACAGGTCATGCGGTGTGAATCAAGGTTCAGTTGTATGCATCCGCCTGGCCTGGAGGGCCATCGACGCCTGGCTTGCTGGGCACTGCACCCACCTCCCACCCCCAAGGGAGTTCCCGATTCTGCTCAGGATACAGGATGCAGCCTAAGGCACAGTCCTGCCCTCAACAAGCTCTCTGCCCGGAAAAAGAAAAGACCCAGGAACAGGCACACGGAGGACATGTAACAAAGGTCACAAGAGGAGCATACACCAGTCACGTGAGGGATAAAGGATTAATACTATCAAGTGGAAGGGCTCAGGGGCACTCCCTGGAGAGGTGGCATGCAAGCTGAATTTTGAAAAGATGGATAGGAGCCCATCAGAGCCTGGAAGAGTAGGCGGAGCAAGAGAGAGGCCACACTGCCCACAAAGGCCCAGAGCGGGAGGTATCATCGTACCCGGTACCTCCTGAGCGCTCACGTGTGTGAGCACTGGGTACACGACGTGCCATCTCTGTGCACGCTCCTGCCCGCCCCGGAAGGTAGGTTACAGCGAGGAGACTGAGGCTCAGAGGGGTCAAGCAACTTGCCCAAGGTCACACAGCTGGTAACTGACAGGGTGGGACTGGCTCTGGGTGGTCCCGAGGGTGGGCTCGTGGCCCACCCCAGGCAAAAGAGACAGATGCTGGGCGCAGAGGGTCTGGAATGCCAGCAAAGGCCCTGTGGTTTGCTTAGCACAGTTTTGAGGATGTGGAACCTTCTAACACGTTCCTGTCCTGCCCCTACATGTGTATGAATAAGTACATTTAACATTGTAAGTAGAGTGTTGTCATGTTTAAGACGGATCATTGGGAAGGAACAATCCTGACTTTGCTCCTTTGCTTTCTATGTCAGAACCGTATAGGGGCCTCCCTCACACCCCGTATTGGATGCATGTAAGTCTCACGATTAGTTAATAAAACAACTTGAGTCAGTCTCCTTTCTTCTCCCCTTAGCCATCATTCTGAGGGACAGTGTTTCTTGGGCCTTCAATATTAGGGTAACCATTGCGACGTGCAAACATTGCTCTCTGGCAGTTAGGGAATTTTCTAGAAGAGAAGGCCTGTGGGTAGTGGAGAGTCAAGGTTGGCTTCTGAGAGGAGAGGGCCATGGTCGGATGAGAGTTGAAGACCCCAGTGGCTGGAGAGAGGTGAGGCCAGGAGCGAGGAGGAGGCCGTTCCTTTTGTCCGTGGGGGGCTGGGCGGGGAGTTGCCTGATCTCAGGGCTGGAACAGAAGGGATGGGTTTGGGGGGAGTGGGGAGTAGGGGCAGGTAGTACAAATCTGCAGGATTCCGTGATAAGTTGGCCATGGCGGGAAGGGAGGCCTAGGACATGGCTTTGCTGGCTTCTGCTCGAGGGACCTGGTGGACGATTCAGGGAAGGAGTCACAGACTGATGCGCTCAGGGTGGGGCACAGCAGGAAGGTCTGTTGAGAGCCCCTCAGTTCTGGACCCCAGCCTTCTAGAGGCTTCCAGGGTGGTAACCACACAGGCACCCATGCGGCCAGAGATCCCAGAGGGTCAGGCCTGGAGAGCCCACAACACCCTGGGTCCCAGACTGCTTTGGGGCCTCGCCTGTGGGCACAGAGGGTCACGCGGGCAGGCTGGGTACTCCTGACCCTCAGCACATTCCCCTGCACGCGCGGGGAGGGAGGGCCCTTCTTTCACACAAGTGCACAAAAACGATGGGCTCAAATGGCCCTGCAACCGGAGTTGGACTCAGTCTAAACAAAAGATGCCCAGTGTGCTAAGTGGGGTCTCAGCCCTGGAGGCAGAGGGGGAACAGAGGCGTCCACGTGCATGGACTTGCTGAGGGAGGGGCCCAGCTTCACCCCGGACAGGGCACAGGGGTTCGAGGGGCAAGGCTGTCCCGTGGACCCCACAGACCACGTCTCCCGTGGACAGTGCTCGGTGTACCTGAAGAATCGGGCCACAGAGTGTCCGGGGTTATCTCCTTGCCAGAGTGCAGGGTTTATGTCTGGATGGGGGCAGGGCGTGGTGTTCACAGCAGCCATGAGAGTGGAGGAGTGTTCCAGGGCTGTGGCCTGCCTCGGGGGGCCGCACTCACCTCCTAGGTGGCTGAGGGCAGGGAGAGCTGCAGGCTGGGCCAGGCCTGTCTCAGAAAGCACAGCTGGTCCCTCCAGCTCAAAGAGAGATGGGGGCCCAGACCCAGAGTTCCAAGCCACGGAGCATGGTGGCCCCAGCTCCCTGTGATCCTCTCCCCCCAGGCCCTGCTGCCTTTCTTTCGTCTCCCAGGGAGCCCTGGACCAGCCTCCACCCCCCACCCTGGGAACTGGAAACCCTCCCCAGCTGAGAGCAGCTCACCCAGCCACATGCAGACTGTGGAGAACTTCATCCAGCTTCCTCAGTCACTCACTCAACAGATATTCGTCTACTGCCCACCAGGCCAGCGCTGTTCTCTGCTCTGGGGGCCCAGCAGGAAGCAAAGCAGCCTCCCTGGAGCTGCCACGCCCTGGGCAATGCTCCCGAAATGCTAGTGGCTGCAGCTCCCACCATCATACACGGGTGCAGTGGGGCCCTGGTCTCCCACAGAAGCTCCCGTCCCACCAGGCTCCCCCGGGGCGAGGCAGGGCCCTCCGAGGCTGACGTCCGCCCTTCTCACTCCGTCCTCTCTGCCCACAGTGGGGACTGGCTCTTGAGCTTTGTCTACCGCACGTCCTCCGTGAAGCTCCGAGTGGCCGGCCTACAGCCCGTGCTGCTGCAGGACAAGAGGGTGGAGAACGTGGACCTGTCCTCCATGGTGAGTATCACCTGTCCCTCCCGGGGCTGGAGGGCTGGGCACTTCGTTACTCCAGCCCAGCAACCCAGGTCCCAGGGACACTGGCCCGGGCTCAGTCCACCCCAGAGGAGGGAGGTCATGAGAATTCACTTGGGAAGAGGTAACTCCTGTTCACGGGCACCATCCTTGTGCTGGGGCATTGTCCGCAGGCCTCTGGGGCGGGCACTATTATCCCCATTTCACAGATTAGGAAACTGAGACTTAGAAAAGTTCCCATCACACAACTAGCAACTAATAGCCTGGATTTGGACCTCCAGAGCCCATGCTCTTGCCCCTATATTACTGCCCTCCCACTACGCCTCCCCACTCCTCCTCCCACCGCCCCCACTCACTCCCCCAGCCGACATTACTGGTCAGGACAGTCTATTTCTCCTGGAAGTAACCAAAACAACCAGAGGACACAAGTGGAGGCATTCAGGCTGGACCAGAGCAGAAGCGCCCAATTTCCAGGGTGTGAAACCGTGGAATACAGAGCAGGGAAAGTGTGTTCCCAGGTCCCCCACCTTGGAATCATCCGGAGAGTTTATTTCAAATGCAGATCCCAGAGCCCCACTGCCCAGACCTCCTAAATCAGTCTCTAGGAGGTGGAGCCTGAAAGTCTGCATTTTAAACATACTCCCCAAGGATTCTTACACATCTCAGACTAGGCAGGGCAGACAATGAAAAGAATTCTTGCTGGGAATGGAATGCAATGCGAGGGAGCCCACCCCAGCAGCTACACAAACCTAATTTGAGTTTCTAGAGCCATCTTTTGGGCTTGAAGGAACCTCGTCCACCCACCACATGTCTGTCATAGGGAGTTAATAATAGCTTCATGTGTGGACACTCACTTGATGCCCAGCTCTGCCCTAAACCTTTTGCAGTATCCGTATCCCCACTGTACAGATGAGGACCCTGAGGCTTTGAGAGGCTGTGGGACTTGCCGAGGGTCACAGAGCAGGGACAGGGCTGAGCAGGACTGAAGCCAGTGGGCATCGCCCCCGTTGGGTAGATGTGAGAACCAGTGGCAGAGGTGCCAGCTGCCAGGAGGATGAGGATATACTGAGCTGCAGTTATGTCCCCAGGCAAACTCAGCCAGTGAAAATGCCCGGGTTGCAAGGTTCACGAGAACAGGAACTTTGTTTTCCAATTATTACATTGCCGGCTGCCGTTTATCAAGTACCAAGCATTTCCTGAGCGTAACCCAATTTCCCCAGGTACCACATAAGTAATTTGAGCCAGCCGCACCATCCTACCTGAGAGCAGACAGTCCAGGCCCCTCCCTGGGCATCTGAAAACTCCCCTGGGGAGGGGCACCCCGGAGGACCCTGGCTTCTCCCTTCAGCTTCAACAGCAGCCTGGCCCAGCGACACACACACACGCACACACACACGCATGCACGCACGCACACACACACACGCATGCACGCGCACACATGCATGCACACACACACGCATGCATACACGTACGCACGCGCACACATGCACGCACGCACGCACACGCATGCACGCACACACGCACGCACACACACTGCACCTCGTGGTAGGGGAAGCCGGGCACCCTGACCCACCCCCACCAGCACAGCTAATGCTGGGTTGCATGCTTATTGAAACTTGACTGAGGGTTGAGGAGAGCACAGGGGGATTCTAGCGCAAAAACTTAAAACCAGAACGTTATCAGGCACTGCTGCCACTGAAGCTCGTGGGCCGTGACCTTGCCCCGAGGTCCCCTGGGCCTCCCACCCAGCCTGCCACCATGTCACTGGGGCCAATTTGTCCTGGCTTATATCTTCACTCCCCCAGACTCCCAGGGCCCTAGCTCACAAGTCCTGACCCACCAGACAACACGAGTGAAGCAGTCCCGTGTCTTCCTGGCCGGCAGCTTTGGGGGCTGGTATTGGTCCAAGAATAAGAAGAGTTTCTAGACTCATCCACCCATGAAACTTATCACTCCTAATTCAGGAGGCAGTCTTCCCAGGACAGACATGAACTTCAAGCCCTAGAGCCATCTCCTTAGATCATCTTTATCCCTGATAGACTTGCTTCACGTGATGTCAATCTCACAGCAATCCCGTACAGTGGGTATTGGGCATCCCCAAGTCACAGACTGGAAAACTGAGGCTTGAGAGAATAGGTTCAGTGTAGCCAGAGAGTCATAGATCTGGTCTCTGAAACCAGGTCCAGAGCCTGTGCTGTACACCTCCCTGTAGGAGTGAGGAAAGCTGGGTAACAAGACCAGGAAACAGCAGGACTCAGTGATGCCTCCTGGCCCATGTCCAGGGGTCTCTGTCCTGTTTGAGGGTCCCTGTACCCTGATGGGGTGAAGGGGAGAAGTGACTTGATGCCTCACCACTCCAGGGGTCTTCCTCTGCCACAAGAATCAAATGTGAAAAGGAATGGCTGAACGTTCCTTTCAAATGAAAATTTCCTTTAAATGCTACAAAGCCCCTGAAAGATAGTTTCTGCCCTGGGAAGCCCCTGAATGGGATACAGTGGGAAGAGCACAGCCTTTGGTGCCGGAGAGGCCTGGCTTAGAATCCAGGCTCTGCCACTGGTATACTGGCTGTGTGACCTTAGGCCAGTGACTGAACCTCTCTGTGCCTCGATTTCCTCATCCTAGAAACAAGAGATATCACCTGTCTTCCAGGGCACATGCGATATGGTTGGTGCACAGTAGGCCCTCGTTTAATGCTGGTTCCTGCGTCTCCTGCCCCTGTGTCCACCTTCAGTTCTGCCTCTGGGACCACAGCTTCAGAGACTCCTCTCCCCACTCAGACTGCCTTCACGGCAGCTTCCCAGCTCCTGCCTAACAATAGCTCTTTATCGCATTAGGAGCACATCACAAAAAGCAGTGCTTTCCTCTTCTGGGTAATTGGAGGTAATTAGCATTGCCTTTGTGCTGCCCTCCTCTTTTCCTTCAAAATTCTTGCTGGAAGAGAGGTTGCTGGCAAAAGAGTCCTCGTGACTGCTGTTGCGAAGCACTGGCTGCCCTGTGCTCGGAGCAGAAACCTACAGGACCTTCTACAGGAGAATTTCCTTCTCCCTGCTGGGCTGACGTGGGCAGAGCCCTCTGAGCATCCTCCCAGCGTCAGCCACGGGACACAAACGTGGTCTGCGGCGGCTCCTGATCTCAGGACAAGCCTGAGCAGGAGTGAGCCAGGGGCAGGCCCTGTCGCAGGCAGAGGGCATCTCTGGTGAACGGAGCAGACAAAGGCCAGGCTGCCTGCCCACCTTTCAGGCTCTCCTGTGTGGGGACTGGGTTGCAGCGGGTGGGGATTTCTGCCACCCCGGGGGCCACGTCACGAGTTTTCTCCAGAGCCCAGGGTCTCTGGAGTCTTGGTGTCCCAAAAGAACGCCAGCTGGCTTCTCGAGCTTAGCACAGGGCTTGGCACACAATAGACATTCACGAATAATAACAATAATAACAACAATAGTCAGTGTCTGCATGGTTTACAGACCTTATGTCACTTGATCCCCGTAGCTGTCCCATGAAGTAGGGATAATAACCCCATTGTACAGGGATAGAAACTTAGGCCGCAGGAAGGGACACTGCATGTGAGTGGCAGAGCCAGATGAACTAGGGAACCTACCTCCGAGCCTGGGCTCTTAACCAGTGTGTTCACACTGTCTGCATTCACGCACCTCTGTGGCTTCCAGTCAGTGACCTCCAACTCTAGGCCAATAAGCCTGTGACGTGTATTATCTCGTTGAATCCTCACAACCAGCCCACATGGTGTATGGTGTACGTATCTTTATTAGCCCCATTTTACAGAGGAGGAAACTGAGGCCCAAGAAGTAAAGGAACCCCAGGGGGCCTGATAGGCTTGGGAATTGTTGGCCAGGCAGAGACAGGTGGCAGCAGCTTTGGTTTGGGTAAGTCAAGGTGTCTTGCAAGGCAGGAAACCAGAAGCGCTGAGGCCCATTCATCCTGTGTGGCTCTGGTTACCCTGAGCACCCACAGCGTACAGGGCTGTATGTGGGGAGTAGAGGTGAGTTAAAGGTGTGCACCTCCTCAGCTCACACGGTCTATCAGAACACAGACAGAGGCAAGCAGATGGAGACGATGGTGTGTAGTGAGTGCTGTTGCAGGGGAGCCCCAGGAAGGGTCCGTAACCAGCGTGGGAAGGTCAGGGAGGCTTCTTAGCACCAGGGACATCCAGCATATCTGGACAGGTGGCAGATTTCAGTCTAGACAGCCAGGGAGATGGTCTTGGGCTGAAATCTTTATCCAACATCAGCCGCGCCAGAATGTTCCACTGCTCAGAAGGAATTCTTTTCCCATCCACTTCACTCCCGCTCTCCCATCCCTCTGGCTACCTGTACAATTGGAACTCTGCCAGCCAGTTCTGCCTCTGGGTCTTTGCAGAATGGCAGATCAGGGACTAGGCTTAGCTGAGACCTGGACCAGCTTGTAGCCAAGAAGGTCCAGAGCTCTGCATTCTAGGGCAGCTGCACAGTGGAATTTCCATCTGGAATCAGCTGTAGCCAGTAGCCGTAAACACCTCCCTCCCTTCCTGTCCTGCCTGCCTCCACCCAGCCCGAGTACCAGCCCTTCACCAACATCAAAAAGGTATAGGGAGGTCATCCTTGTTTGTCCCTGTGGGTCTAGGTTACTGCTGGCCCGAATTCAGATGTGATGGCTGGAGCTTCAGCAGCCGTTTTGGGTTCCTGAATGGATCTGCCTAGCTCACTCCCTACCTTCTATCCCTCCTTCCAAGAAAATTAAATTAAAGGAACTCATATTTATGGAGCACCTACTGTGTACCAGGTGCTGTGCCTTGTGGTTTGTATTATATCTTCCCACCAACCCCATGCGATGGGTATCACTAACCCTAATTGTGTAATGTCCCTATAAAAGTGTTTGGGGTCATATATGGAACAGAATAGTTCCCACAAAGTCCCAGGCCCTTGGAGCTCTCATAGCAGACATTCAAGGTATGAGGTGTCATGATCCTCATTTTACAGACAGGGAAGCTGGGTCTCAGGACGTTGTACAGACTCACCCAGTTACTAGAAAGAGACAGAGCCAAGTCTGGAACCCCCATGTCTCTGATTCCAAACTTAGGTTCTTTCTAGCGCCATGCAGCCACTAATGTCCACCCGCTATGGAAAGATGCTGCCCTACCTTGACCTCCACCCTGAACCCAGGGATCTGAAAAGCCTCTTCTGTGTGTATACATGTGTGTGTTTTCACTGAACACTCTTTAGAAGTGGTTGTAAAGAAAAGGACAAGAAGTAAGCAGGTTATGAGAAGATAACAAAACTGTACAGGGAATTGTCTTTTGTGTTCTTGCAAAGTCATTGGAATAACCCGGTGTGATTTGTGATTCGAATGGAAATGCAGGTGTTACCAGCCGAGCCTTTGTGTTGCTTCCTGAGCGCCCCAGCACAAGCCTCCCCAGTGCTTTCCTGTCTCCTTTTTAGACAAAAACCTTCCTCTTCAGCCTTGAAGGACTGTTCTGTCTTGTGCTTGCCTTTGGCACTAAAGCAGGCACCCTAGGCTGGCTGGGGAGAGTGCAAGCCTCCATCTCAGGGAGGAGATTTGAGCGAAGCAGCCTCTGCTCTCAGTGTCTCAAGTGCTGTGTGTCGTTAAGCTAAACCACCACCCCTCTCTGGGTTTCTCTTTTCTCATCTGTAAAGTGAAAATGATTTTTAAAGTCTTCCCCACCACACACCTGATTTTCTATGACGTGAACAGGCCTGGATTCAGACCCCAGCTCTGACACCTGGGTGACCTTGGGCAGGTCACCTTACCTCTCTGCCTCAATTTCTTCACCTCCAATTAGCAGCCAGTACCTGTCAAAGGAGTATATTCAATAAACTCATTTCCTACAAGGTATTAAGGACCTACTGTGTGTCAACCATTGTCCATTTTCACAGTTAGGCATCGGGCACTCCAATCACACCCCTATTTTTCAGTCGCTGATATATACCAACACAAAAATAGGGGAGTCTCTCTTCTCTCAAGAAGGGGGTGGGCACTTCTGAGTTCTTGACCCTTGTCTTAGTGAAGGTTCCATCCATAATAAAGGCCCAGATGAAGTGGCTTAAACACACAAGAGGTGATGCTGTCCCATAGGCAAAGGCTAGAAGAGGCAGTTCAGGGCTGGTGGCTCCATAGCTTTCAGGGGCCGAAATTCCCTGTCTTGCTATTCTGCCATCCTTAGTGAGCCAACTCATGGCTCATGGCGGCTGCCACAGCTCTGGCCATCCTGTCTGAATTCCAGCCAGCAAGAAAGAGGAAATAGGGGGAAAAGCGAAGCACTCCCCCTTTTAAAGAGAATTCCAAGGACCGCCACATAACACTGCTGCTTCATCTCATTGGCCAGAACTCATCACCGTAGTACACTTAGCAACAAGGGAGGCTGGAGAACGTACCCAGCTATAAACTGGAGTTCTTATGACTAAGAGAAAGGGGGAGAGTGAATCGTAGAAAGTACCTGGCAATCTTTCTAGCCATAGTTCTATTTTAGATTTGGGGGCTTTTTCCTGGAGGAACCCTCACAACAACCCTCTGATGTAACTACTCTTACTGTCCCCATTTTACAGCTGAGGCACATGGAGGTCAGAGGCATACAGGGGCTTGTCCAAGGTCCCACAGCTGGTGATCCACAGAGCCCTTCCACTGTAGCCTAAAGCTGCAGGCAGAGAACAGGAACTTCCACTCCAACTATAACAGGAGGGTCTTTCCTGCCCCCAGAGGACCCAGATTCTGTAGAGAAGCTTCCTTCGTCTTTATTTAAGAAATTTTAGAGCAGCTTTGAACCCAGAGGCTTCCCACCCACTCTGGACTTGAGAATCATTGAGGGTTGGAGTCATGGCATTGGTGACTGGTTGGTGAAGATGCGGAGGGAGAGGCCCAGGAGCCCTGGGGAGGACTGGGGTCTGCCCACCACCCGTGGTCCTCACTCACTGTCCTCCTGCAGGTCAGCGGCCACTTGGACTACGCCAAGCAGATGGACGTCATCCTGAAGGCCGTGGGCATCCACACCAAGCCAGGCTGGGACGAGAAGGGGCTCTTGCTGGCCCCAGGCAGCCTGCCCCAAGAGGAGCCTCGCCAGGCAGCAGCGCCCTCCTCATCGGATAAGACCACCAACCAGGATGGGCAAACCCAAGGTCCCACATCCCCCTTGGGAGACACCCCCAGCGCAGCCACATCTCTTGACCCCAGCCAAGCCCAAGTGCCAGTGAGACTGGACCAGTCTGAAGGGGCCTCTCTTCCTGCTGCTGCCAGCCCTGCTGAGAGCCCCCCTGTCTGCAGCCATGGCGTGGGCCCCAACCCACTGGGCTGCCCCGACTGTACCAGCGAGACACAGGGGTCCTGCCCAGGGCTGGACTGACCCCGGAAGAGTCATTCTCCCAGATTTCTATATGCAGTGCTCTCTTACCCCACTCCACCGGGTCCCTCACATGAGCTCTGGAGATGCAGAATTTCCACCACTGTCTTTCCTAAATTGAAGACATTGGTACTGGAAGGAGGGGGATTGTAAGAAGACACCGTCCCCTCCCCAAGGAAGCAAGGCTAGAGCTCTGCAGAGTCAACCCAGCACAGTGTAGAGCCCCAGGACTAGACCAGCCGTGGGCCTCCTGTGCTGCGGGTCAGAGCTTAGGGTCTGGTTGCCCATCAGGTGGCTCAGGAGCTCTGTGGAGCCTGAGGCTCCCACCCAGCCACGCTCCCCAGCCTCACAAGCCTGGTGTCTGCCGACCCATTCGCCCACAGGCACCACTGCCACGCCTACAGAGCAGGGACAAGTGGGACAGGCAGCTTATTCTCTCTGCTCTTGGGAGATCCGATGAGGTCTGCCACATGCAGCTGTACAGGCTGTGCACCGCACAACTACAGGGGCAGCATCATAAAGACGTGATGTGAAGGGCGCCCCCCAAAGTTATGCCGCGTAGTGGCCCTGGATATAACTGTTACAGAACAATTACAGAACGTGGTGAAGAAGTGTTACAGAACGTGGTGGAAAATGCTGGATCAGCAGGCAGTGTGGACAGGGCCTGTGACGAGAATGAATTAGATGGGGAAAGGATTTCCTATAGCAGAAACAGAGGTGTGATGATTCTAACAATAAATAATAACAACAGCTACCATTTATTAGGTATTTACTGTGTACAGGGTGCTTACCTGCATTGTCTCAGTTGACCCTCACAACAACCCTATGAGGTAGGTTCTATTATTATCTTCATTTTCACTTGCAGACCCAGAGAGGTTAGGTAAGCTACCCAAGATCACACAGCTGGTCAGTCTCAAGCTCCAGTCAGTCGGCCTCTAGAGCCCAAGCTCTTAGCCACTGGATCTGCATCCCTGGAACCATCCCCTTTGGTCCTCCCACTGTCTCTGAATGAGCGGGCCAGAGATAATCCCCCCCCCCACATCGTGCAGATGGGGAAACCAAGGCCCCGGCAGAGAAAATATTGACAAGCTCAGGGGAGGCAGCGAGGAGTGGGGAGAGGCAGGGGAATTAGAGTGTTGGAGCCAAACTGGTCCTCAGGGGTACGTGTATTTGTTTCAAAAACTATTTACAGAACTCCTACTGCTGTTAATCCAAACAGCTCATGTCACCCACGGAAAACTGAGGCCCCGAGAGAGGAAATGACGTTGCTGAGGTCCCAAAGCAAACTCAGGGCAGAGTCCGGACCAGAACCCAGGACACCTGCACCCAGAGTCTCTTCCCACGTCACCAGCTGCTTCTACAGCCTGAATTCAGTTCACACCACGGTCACCGCCTCAGCTAGTGTTTATTGGGAGTCCACTGGGGCAGGCCTGGGGGTAGAGGGGGAGCCCCAGTAGAACCAGGGCCCCTCTACAGCCAGCGGCATGGCCAGAATTGAGTCTACTCAGCACCAAGGAGAGCTCCAGGCCGCCGGTGGAGGCCCCTGGGAGTTTGGGTGGATGGAACTTGGAGGTGGGAAGCAGAGTAAGAAAAACCTCTGACTAAAAAGAAACCTAAAGTAGGTAAGCTTTGGGAACCAAGAGTTCCCCCGTCAGAACAAAGCAGGCCCCTGTGCCAGGGTCCACCTGCCTGCCCGAGGGCACCAGCCCACGCCAGGGGCAGCTCTACAACTCTGCTGACCCGATGGCCACCACTCCCACTGAGCCCTGGGAAGGCCAGAAGGAGGTGGGCAAGGGCTGGTTCTGTCCCCACCAGCTGGTTCCCTTCTAGGCCCAAGGAAGTCCAGGCTAGAGGAACACCATTCCTGGTGCTGAGCAGAAGCCACCAGCTCTCCCTTCGGCTCCAGGAGACGCAGTGCAGCCGCCTGGGAGCTGGGGTGGGGGCCCTACCCGGCTTCCAGAGCGAGCCAGGCTGTGGGACCGGGCCGGGGCTGAAGACGAGGAGGAAGGTGGAAGAACAGTGGGAACAAAGAGCCCTTCCTGGCCCTCAGCCAGAGGCCAGGGGGCTGGATGGCCAGGAGCTGTAACAGCAGGGACCACCAGCCGCCCACCTGCCGAGTGCCGGGCATTCTGTGTTCAGTATCCTAACGCTCAAGACACCCTATGAAGCAGGCATCGTTACTCCCATTTTGCACGTGGAGTAATAGGCTCAGAGGGGTTAAGTAACTTGTACGAGGACTGGTAGGTGGTGAAGCAGAGGTTCACATGTAGGCCTGCCTGACTCCCAGGCTCAGAGGGGTTAAGGAACTTGTACGAGGACTGGTAAGTGGTGAAGCAGAGGTTCACATGTAGCCTGCCTGACTCCCAGTCTCAGATGCTTTGTGTGTGGGCAGGTGTATCCTGAGAACCTGACTGGTCCAAAAACTGTCTAGCAAACCATCCTCGGGGTTAAAGATCACCTGAACCAGCACGTCTCAAACCATAACGTGCGCAGGATCCACCCGCTGAACACCAGGTCGGGGTCGGGCAGGGGTGTGCATTTCTAACAGGCTCCCGGGAGCTGATGCGGTGGCCCACGGACCACACTTGGAGGACCGAGGAATTTGGCCCAGCGCCAAGCTGCCTCTGCAGACAGAGATGTCCCTCCCACGCAGTCTGACAGAAATGTGCAAAGGAGATGGTTGTCTTCATCCTAATCTGGGCCAAGAGGTCCTTACCCCACTCCCTGGAGTCCCCCAGCCTTGCTCTACACACAGCCACAAGTTACACTCAATAGTGGGGCATCCTGAAGAAAACTGTACCGAGCCAGCAACTAGCCCTCCAGGTGGGAGGCCTGGAGTGGGCACGGGGAGCTGGCTCCGTGCAGCCCCCTGGAGCTCAGCGGGCTCCCGGGAGACCTGTAGCATCCTGGTTTTAGCCAAGAGCTGGTCCAGGGCCTCAGGGACTTGGTCCCATCCAGTCCAGCTCTCCAAGCCTGTGTCAGTTCCTCGGGGTACCAAGCGGAGGCAGCTGCAGCTCAGGCTCCACAGGATCACCGTTGAAGAAGCTGACTGCGGTAGTGGTCCCGGCAGGTGGCGGGGGGTCCCGGGTGGCCTCTCCAGGCAGCAGCAGCTGGGCCGTGAGTTGCAGGCCTGAGGAGCCCCCCGAGCCCGGGTCCGAGTCCGAGTCCGAGTCCGGCAGCAGGGGCAGCGGCAGCACGTGCTGCAGGCTCAGGCCCGGCCGTGGGCCGCTGTGAGAGGTACGCACGGAGGGCGAGGCAAGACTGGGCTGGCGCTCCCGGGGGCAGTGGGGACACGGCAGGAACCTGCCCAGGGCCCGCTTGAAGTCCCGCATGAAGAGCGGGTAGATGATGGGGTTCATGGTGCTGTTGCAGTAACCCAGCCATGTGAGGACATCAAAGAGCCCCGGGGAGATGCAGTCGCACACGGCCTGGAGGGATGGGGCACGTCATGCCTGGTCCTGGAGGAGGGACGCAGGCCACCCCACCCAGCACGGATGGGACAGACACATAAACACATGGAGGGGCAGCCCGCCCTCCTCCCTCCCCGGGTCTGGGCAGGGGTGGGGCTCAGGGCCTCCCCAACCAGGCGTGGACTTACCTGCCCCTTGTGGTAGCATTACCTGGGCTATGTTGACCACAAAGAAGGGCAGCCAGGTCACAAAGAACATGCCCAGCAGGATGCCCAGTGTCAGGCTGGCCTTCAAGGCCTTCCTGCTGTGCTTGGTGGCTAGACGCCCGCTGTCAGCCGACTCCACCCCGGGGCACGGGGTCCTGGGCACCTGAGGAAAGGAAAGCCACGTGATTTAGTGAAGAATGCGCCCCAGTCTGACCCTATTCCCAGCCACAGACTGAGCCTTCCTCCTAATTCTAGACTGAGCCCTAGTACCAGTATTAAACTGCGCCCTGACCCTTGAATGAGCTCCAGTTGTAGTCCTAGACTGAGGCCTGACCCTGACTCCCGACTGAACCTTGATCTTGGCTTCAGACCGAGCCCTGACATCAGCAATAAGCTAAGCCCTACTCACGGCCCCGAACCCCTGATGCCCACCGTAGGCGGAGCCCTAATAACAAGATCTCAAACTGAGCCTCAACCCCGGACCAGACTGAGCCCTGATTCCAGAAACAGACGGAGCCTTGGTCCTGGTCCTGCCCCGAGCTATGACCCTGACCCAGCGCTTCACGAGGAGCTCTAGAAAGTGCAGTGAGATTTCCTAGGTGCCGGGGCTCATGGTCATGTGTGTTGGCCAGGGTCAAATGTCGTCCTTTGCAAGGCGTGTGGGTCTTCTGAACTGTTGGATTTGCGTTTGGGGCAGTGTTGTCCTGCACTGCACTTTGGCACTACACGAATTAGCTGCAATTGAACAGTACTTGACAGAAGAGGACCGTTGCTGTCCAGGGCTCGGCAATCTCTTTGCCTACGGATTCTCTTCATATGTTGGAGTGATGGTTTTGTCTGCACCACTACTCTCAGACTCCACAAAATAAAGTGCATTTTTGAAAATATGTGCCCAAAACAAACGTGTACAATTAAATCTGTATAAATTACTAGGGATGCAAGCAATCTTGGCATTTTACACACAGATTTCACTGTGGAGTGACAGACATCTCCATTCGCACACGTGGACTCCGTGAGCGGGAACCAGGGGAGAGGAGGAGGAAAAAGCTAGGAGCTGCTCCACGGGGAACACGGCACGAGGGGTTAGAATGTGACTTTACAAATGTGAGCGCAGGCGTCCCAAAACGTTCAAAAGGCTCTCTGATCCCAGATGACCCATTAGCCCAGAGGTTCTCTTAATTTTTTCAACTTTGTGAGTCCATTGAGACTCTAATGAAATCTACAAAACCACTCCTCAGAAAACAAAAGGCTTATAAAATTTTATAAATACACACACACACAGAGAAAAAAGTTCCCTCATGTCCAGAGGGTTCAGAGACCACTGTGAAGTCCATCCATGAAACTCCTAGGGGTCCATGAAAGCTGGAATGTGAAGCCCTCCTCTGAACCATGTATTGTAATCAATTTGGATTTTCATATATCAGCTTTCCACAAGGCAAGAGCCACCTATATTGACAATTTTTAAGTAAATACTGGTATGCAGAGGTGCGCACAACTTATTGAATTATGAAGGGGCATGTGGGCTGCCTGGGAATATACTTGGGCTTTGAAAGCCAGGGGTTTCCCCCCAACATTTCCTAAACTGCATGAGAGCCCAGCTTAGCTCTTGAGGCAACCAAAGATAGTTTGGGTATGGGAAGATGAAAGAGAAGGAGGCAGGAAGGGAACCAGATTCCCAGGCAACCTTCACAGATGAAAATGGGGTGGAGGAGGCAAAGGCAAGTTGTGTCAGCCCTTCGAGCACCAAAGCCAAACCCCCTACCCCATCCCCCTCCCAGCCCTTTTTCTCTCCCCGCCTCCTCAGGGTAGCCAGGCTTGGTTACTGTCCATGGTGCTGAAACCCCAGCTGCGTCCCTACAATATCTTTCTATAGGGTCTGGAATGGCAGTGGCAGGAGAGGGGAGACAGGCACACTGCAACTCCCACCCTTCGATGTGTTTCTCCAAGTGAAATCTGGTTAGACAAATATCAAAGACACCCAGAGCAGCCTAAAAGAGGCCTTGATTTCTCCCCTCTGTCTTGGTGGGGCAACATTATGCAGAGGCAAGAGCTTGTTTTAAGACAAGTGATCTGGCTTCAAATCGTGCCTCTACCACTTACTCGCCCTGTGATCTTGACAGTCTCTGTTTCCACATGTGTAAAATGGGAGAAAATACTCACCTTACGGAGTTGCTTTGAACCTGTGGATATACGTGCATGCACAGTGCCTGACACAGAGTGAGTGTAGATACACAGCAGCCCTGAGGTCAAGTCAGCAGTATGAGTGTGAGGCTGGGGGAGTTTCTAGCACCTTCAGGAGCCCTGTTTTTCTGCCAGCAGCTTAAGCTTTCCAAAGCAGCACAGATGTCAGGACAAATGCTCTGAGCCACTATGCTACAGCAAGGAAGAAAAAGAAGATCTGCTTTTCTCTCTCCTTCTCATTTTCTCTTCTCCAGAGTGAACTCTATATGGCTCCCGTGGGCCAACCTGTTCAACCGAGAGGGAGAGGCTCCTGCTTCCCCATAGGAATCTCCTAGGATCTGCCGTGACTTTGAATTGCTGCCACCAGTGGGGACAGACATATGGGGAAGAGGGAGACGCCGTCTCCAGAAAGCCCTAGCTACACGGGTATCCCCTGGCCCCTGGAGACCTGAGGAGGGGGCAAAAGACAGCTGTGATCTTGCTAGAGCTCTAGGGCACTAGGGTACCAAGGTACTCAGGGAGACATTTGGGGGCAGTCATCAGGGGAGGATAATCCAGAAGGACTAAGAGAGTCCCTCTCTAGTCTTCCTAGGGACAAACTTGTACTTCTCTTTCTCCTCTTCTCCCCAAAAAGTTGACCCAAGCACACAAGCAAGAGGGAAGAGAGAAGGAATTGAGGCTCAGAGATGGTGGGGGAACCTTCCCAAGGTCACATCACGCCAGTACAAAGCCTCAAATAAAAGTACCAGTGACCCCAAATGATCATCTCCACTTACTGAGCACTGACTATGCATCAGCAGTCGATGTTCATTCTGCCACTGAGTCTTTATGGGAGGAAGGTATTATAATCTCCATCTTGCAGATGAGGTTCAGAGAGGCAAAATAACTTTCCAGGAGTCACACAGCAGACAAGTGCTGAGTTAGGAATCAAAGTCATCTCTGGCTCTAGAAACTGCACTTCACCAGGCCGTTTCCGTTTTGGAGGATGGCATCCCCAAGTAAAACCCCACCACTGTCACTGAGAGTCCCTCATGGAGCAGAAGCCAGTGGCAACCGCCAGGCCACACCCTGGGTTCTGGCTGATGCCAGCCTCACCCTTCCCACTTCTCTCTGCCCCGTAGCCACCTCATGGCCCCGTGGCACGTTCTGTTGTTTGCATGTCCCTTATACATGTCTGTGGCATCTGTCACTGTCAGAGGGCAGCTACTGGGGGACAATTTGGCAGTGCCCTTCCAGGAGGCAAGTCCGCTTACAGATCCTTATGTCCATAAAAACCCGTACCTGTGTCTCTACACTTGGCTTGGACAAGAGTGTGTACCACAGCACCCTTCGTGATAGGAAAAAAATTGGAAACAGCCCAAAAGTCCATCGAAAGGAGAGTGGTTAAATAAACCCCGGTACATTACCACTATAGAATGCAACACAGATGTTTAAAAGAATGAATTGATCGAATGGAAGGATCCCCACGACGCATTATCAAGTGATAACGGCAAGTTGTACAAACAAGAGATACAGCATGATTCCCTCTGTTCAAAAAAATACACAAAGCAAAGCACTAAGTTTCTTTAGGTACATAAACAAATATGGAAACACACAGAAAAAGAACCGGAAAGACATTGAGAGACGTAGGAGTGGGAGGTGATTGGATGAGGTCAGAGAGGTCTTTTATTTTATCGTTATGGATGAATTTTCATTTTAAAGTGTACTTATGTATTCCCTCGTGTAATTTCAAATTTGTACGATCAACTAATCATAGTGTGAGGGTAATAGGATAGGCCCTGGAGCCAGACTGCCTGGTTTAAACCATGGCTCTGTTACTAACTAGCTGAGTGAACTTAAGCAAGGTACTTTACCTCTCTATGCCTCAGCTTTCTCATCTGTAAAATGGCAATTACAATGGCATCTACCTCGTAGGGTTGCAGTAAGGGTTAAATAAGATAATAGAAAGTTACTTGAACAGTGCCTGGCACACAGTAAGTACCGTGTGATTGTTACCTTGTTGTTTATCATTATTTGTGTTCACCTCGGCTCCTTCATAATGGTGATGAGGCTGCTGACGGCAGCGAGGGTGATTTTTCCCCCTAGAAAATCTCAAAGGGGTGAGCTCCCCAGAACCGTGCATTTTTACCATCAAGAGGAAAGGATAGGAATTAACATTTGTCAAGCACCTACTGTGCGCCAGGTTTATATATATCATCTCATTGATTCTTCAAACAGCCTCACATGATAAATAGCATTACCCCTGAGATAGACGGAGGTGAGTGACTCATCCAAAGTCATCCAGCTGCGACGGGAAAGAGGCAGGATTTGAACCCGTGCTCAGCCAGACACACAAGCTCCTGTGCCCTGCCCCAGCTGCACCAGGCAACCTCGTTCTGAGCAGCAGCAAAGGCTGTCATGCTCGGCTCTGCTCCTCTGCTCCTCTGCCTCCCACTCAGCCCCCTCCTCCCCCTCCAAGATATTTCTGTGATCACAGCCTCCTCTGAGGAGGAAGCAGAGATGGGAGGGAAGATGGATCACTAGGACAGAATGATGCACAGCTGGGGGATGGAGCGTGAAAAAGCTGGGGGAGGAGAAAAAGGAGGAGAAATTGAGGGAGAGAGGAAGATATGGGGTGCAGAAGGAAGAGAGGGGTGAGCTAGAACGGAGAGGGGGGGATAGAGAAGGGGGAAAGATGCGGTGCAGAGGAAGAGGATAGGGAAAGGGTTTTGACCACAGAGACACAGGAATTCTGGCAGAGAGAGAAAGAGACTAAGAACGCAGGAACTCCCAGCTCAGCCTCCCACCGCTGCTCCCCAGCAGGCTGAGCGCCCACACTGGTCCCTCTGGAATCCCCCAAGGATGCGTCCCATCCCCACATGGGCACCCACCTTTCACACACACACACACACACACACACACACACACACACACACACACTCCTGCCCTGGTGGCATCTCACTCTGGCACCACCACCGCCTCTCACACCCTTCTCTCCAACCCCAGCCCATATGCCCTGCCTGGCCTCTAAGCAGAGCTCTTTCTTGCAGCCCCTGGGGCTGGGAAGACCTGACTGAAACCGCTGAGCCAACCAGTGGCTTTTTAAAAGGCCATTCACATCAATAGGCAGATGTGGTGGACAGAGGCATAGAAAGATGCTCCAGCCAGCTCAGCTCCCTTGTCCGAAACCCCTGAAGAGCCAGGACTCCAGGGACGGGTGCCCAGCCCCCTTCCCTCTGTGGGGAAGCTAGAGGCTGGATGGGAGAAGGAGCTAAGGGTTCAGTGGGGCTGGAAAGAGGAGGAAAGGGGCCTAACACACCCCCAAGTTCTGTTCATTCTCATCAGTTCCTTTAGGTCCAGGCACTGAGAACGCCTCCGTCCCCAGGCTGGATGCTGCTGGACTCTGGGGCAGGCCAGCTTGGGTGGGGTAAGTGGGTCACAATCCAGGAGGCCAGAGCAGAGGCAGCATCCCAGAAGCAAATTCCCCAAACGCAGGCAATTCTCCAGGCAATGAGGAAACTTGCCCTGCAGGAGGCTCGCTTAGGATCTGAGTGGGTTTGGAAGCAAGGGCAATGGGAGAGTCTGACACTGTCTCATTCAAATAAAGAGAAAAGGCTTTCCAGAAAGTAGGAAGAATTTGCACAAACACATTTCTGGCTGGAGATACTGCGGGTCATTCTGCCACAGCTAAATGACCCGTGAAGACTCCTCCCAGCCTTTGGTTTCGTGACTTCCTTGCTTTAGTTTGCAAACGTATGCACAGGGAGTAATAGACCCTGAATGTTTACTGGCGGAGGCACCCTTCTTCTAAGCTCCAGGACTCTCATCATGATAGGGTTTCGTGATCAGTGTCTCGCTCTCCAGCTGGAAAGTAGATTCCAACAGGGCAGGATCTTCTCAGACCCACTCATCCCTGCAACCACAGCACAAGGGAGGTACTCAACACGGTACCAAGGAAGTGAATCAATGTACTAAAAAGCGCAGGATTCATCAGCTACAAGAACTGCTTCTAAAAGTGGGAGAAAAGGAAGAGATGTGAGTTGGGATTGAATCCCTGGCTCTGTGAAGCACTGTTGTTCATTTCATTTCTCTCATCACCGTACACTGACCACTCACGACACGCCAGGCACTGTTCTAAGTTCTGGGAATATAGCAACCGAGACAAGTCCTCACCCTCATAGAACTTACATTCTAGTAGGAGGAAATAAACAGTCAAACAGTAAATGGGAAAGTACATAATATGTCAGGCGGTGGTATTTGTTGCTGAGAATAACTTAGGAAATTAGGACTGGATGGGATCTGGACAAGTATGGCCGTTACTACTCTTGACGAAGGGATTAGGGAAGACAGCCAAGCAGAGGCCAGAAGAAAGTGATGGAAGTTAGGGGGAGAACCCTGCGGAGATGTGAGGAAACGGCACTTCAGGCAGGGGGAGCAGCAAGTGCAAAGGTCCTGAGGCAGAAGTGTGCTTGGTATGCTCAAGGAATAACAAGGGGGCCAGGAGAACTGAAATAGAAGGAGTGTGGAGGGTGGTGGAAGGAAAGGAGGCCAGAGAAGGAGCAGAGGAATGACATAACAGGACCTGCATTTTTTTTTTTTTTTTGGCCATGCCTCACAGTTTGCAGTGAAAGTGACAAGTCCTAACCACTGGACCGCCAGGGAATTCCCAGGACCTGCATTTTAAAGGGATCACTGCGGCTGCTGTGTAAGATCAGAAGGGAGCAAGGATGGGCTTAGGAAGCCAGTGGGTGATCTCTGCAATAACCCAGGCATCAGAAGCCCAGGGGACCAAGGGAGGCAACCGAGACATGATAAGTGTCTTGAAAGCAGAAAGCACGCTGGGTGTGCAGTGTGAGAAAAAGAGAGGCATCCAGGCTGCCTCCAAGGTTCCTGGCCTGAGCAACTCATATCAGTTAGTCGACATGAGGAAGACAAGGGAGGAACGATGTCTGGAGCCTGGAAAATCCGGAGTTCTGTTGCGGGCAGTGGTAAGTAAGTGGCCCAGGCTGGAAGTCATCAGTGTGTAGGTGGTACTTCTGGTCATGGCACGAGACCAGCTCACTGAGTGAATGTGGGAAAAGAGCAAGGAGGTCAGAGGACTGAGGCCGGGGGATGCCTCGGATGGTGGAGGAGCAGGAGGACCCAGTAGAGGAGACTGAAAAGGCACAGCCGGTGACGTGGAGGGTCTCACGCCAGGTGGCGCCCCTGAGGTCAATGTTTTAAGAGCGTGTCACTGTCCACAGGCAGCACGACGCTCCGATCCAGGCGTTGGCATCAGCCAGACCTGAGCTGGAACCTCACTAACCAGCTGTGCAACCCTGGGCGTCACCTGCCCTCGGTTTCCCCAGATGTCAAACAGGGATGATGATTACTTGTCCCGTTGGGTGTTCGGGGGGTTCACTCAGCTCAGTGCCTGGCAGTTAGAGAGCGCTCAAAGGCTGTGGAGCTGCAGCTGTTAGCATTCGGGAGACACCTGCCCAGGTGCTGAGGCCACAGTCTCAGGTACAATCCTGGCCAGTTAGCTTCATGGAAAGAAAATCTATGCATCACAGACACTGCTGGAACCGAGAATCCAGACCGAGGCCGGCCAACTTCTCACCTCCTTAGTCACTGGGGCAGAGCTCCCCAGAGTGTGAGCATTGGAGATACCCTTGGGTGGTAAATGGACACCCTATAAAATAACTGAGTTATTTTATAACATAGGCCTTTACATTTCCCTCCCAGCTCTTCCGGTTACGTCAAGAGAAAGTCTCGTGTGAATGGTACTGTGTCTTTAACATCCCTCCAACGTCTAACAGAGAGAAAGCCGGCCTCAGGCTCAGCATCTCCAGCCACATCCAAGCTGGGCTTTAGTAACACTGCTGGTGCTCCTGCAGCCTCGGTGAGGTTGTGTTCATGATCACCTTCTATTTATGGCCAGGATACTGACTGTCCATTTCCGGAAGAGAAAAGGAGTTTTCTTTCTAAATAAGTTCATGGAAGTAAAAAGATAAATGAGACGTCTCCAAGGAAATGCTAAGGACATACGGATGAAGAGGCTTGAGGCTTGTGCGAGGGTGGGTGGAGGGGTAGCAAGGCAGATACCACAAGGCAGTTCTCAAACGCCTGACGTCTGGGAAACGCTCCTTTACAAGAACCCAAGGAGAGAGGACGGATGGCCCAGGGCAGCTGCCCTACAGCTGCAGAACCAAGTCAGGGTCACAGCCACCTGCTGAGACTCAAGAACGTTCTCCAGTGAGTACAGATGGGGGAGAGAGCACGGCCGCAGCCAGGACCTCCTGTCCACCCAAGACCCTGTCCTCCTACTTGATGGGCGTCACTGCTGGGATGACACGGGTAAGCCGCTCTGGGGGGGCTGCCGACCAGGGTGATAGCCTCTCAGCCCCCATCTATCCAGTGACCCCCCCACCCAAAGTACCTCCCATCCTGCAGGCACCTCCTCCACCTGAGGCTACACCAAGATGACACTGGAGAGCCCATCTGGGATCTTCTTGGGGGCCTGTGACCTAATTCTCTAGGGCTCAGGCCTGGTCAGTCTAAAGTCCCATCCCTTGGCGTGAACAATAGGACTCGGGCACCGTGTGACCCACTCCACTCTAGGCACTGCAGACCTTGAGCAAAGAGCGCCGACCCCGTTCACAGGTAACCAGTGAACACCTACTATGCACAGTGGAGATCAAAACTCACTCAGATACACCCAGCCCTCGTGGGAGCTTACACTCCAGTGGGGGAGACAGACAATGAACAGATCAACAAATAAACTGGGTATCGGGATCAAGAATAAAAGGGTGGGGGAGGGCAGGGAGGTCTGCAGACAGTGTGGTCAGGGAGGGCCTCTGGGAAGGGGTGACGTGTGAGCTGAAGAAGAGTCTCAGTCAGGCAAGGGCGGCTCCAGGGGAAGAACATTCCAGGCAGAGGGCACAGCCAGTGCAAAGACCTGGGCACAGAGTCAGTCTGGTGCCCACTAGGAGTGTCAGAAGGGCCACAGGACTGCTGCAGAGAAAGGGGCGGGGAGGGGAAGAGGTGCAGCTGGAGAGGTGGTCAGGACTGGATCCCGAGGCCGGATCCTGACACAGGTCTCCCCTTTTATCTTGAGAGCAATGGGGAGCCACTGAAGGGTTTGTAGCAAGGGAGTGAGGTGATCACGCTTCTGCTTTTGTTTGTGCAGAAAATGGATAGGAGGGGGTCTGGCGTGGAGGCAGGAGGAGCGAGCAGGAGACTATCAAAGGCTCCCAGGTAAGAAGCAATGGTGGCTTGGATCAGGAAGGTGTCATTGGAGGTGACACATGTTTAGAGGCAGCACCAACAGGCCTTGCAGATGAATCCCATGAGCATGAGGGAGAGAAATTGTTCCTAAGTTTCTGGCGTGCGATGCCATGATGGTGCCATTTGCCACGATGGGGACGACGGGGGGACGAGCAGGTGGGGAGAGGTGGGACCCCCTGAATTCCCTGTTGCACCTGTTACCTTCGAGAAGACTGCCCCACATCCTGGAGCGTCCTGTGGACAGCTGGACATTGAGTCTGGAGTTCAGAAGAAAGGTGGGAACTGGGAATGACCAATCGGAGGTCGTCAGCAATTGTATATTACATGGCGGATGCCTAGTGGGCACCCAATGGCTGCTCATTCTTCTCCATCCCACAAGCCCGGGTCTCCCTGCGCGCCCCGGGTACCTGCAGCGTCTCCAAGGCCTGGACGGCCATGCCGGTGGTGAGGGAGGCCACCTGCACGGCCTGCTTGCGGGCGGCCAGCAGGATCCTGCAGTAGGTGAAGCAGATGGCGCCCGAGGGCAGGAAGAAGGTGAGACTCGACGCCACCAGGACGAAGGGCAGGCTGGCCAGCAGGCGGCACTGGCCCGGGGCGGGCGCCCGCGCGCGGCCCAACTCGTGCCATCCCAGCAGCAGGGGCAGGAAGGAGGCGAGCGCGGCCAGGCCCCAGGCGCTCAGGACCAGTGCCAGAGCGCGCGGGGGCGTCATGCGCAGCTTGTAGCGCAGCGGCGAGAGGATGAGCAGGTAGCGGTCCAGGCTGATCAGGCAGAGGTTGAGGATGGAGGCGCTGCAGCACATCACGTCGAAGGCGGCCCAGAGCAGGCAGAGGCCCCGCGCCAGCACCCAGCGCCCGTACAACGCATTCAGCATGGCCGGCGGCATCACCACCAGCCCCACCATCAGGTCCGACGTGAAGAGCGACACCAGGAAGAAGTTGGACGTGTTGCGCAGCGTGGGCTGCGTGCAGATAAGCGCGATGAGCAGCGAGTTAGCCGCCGCCGTCAGCGTGATGACCACACACAGCGCGGCCGCCACCCAGCCGCTGCCCCCCGGCTCCGATGACGGCCCCGACTCCCAGTCCAGGGTGCTGTTGTTGGCGGGGCCCTGCTCTGGGACCATGAGGGCGGAGGGCGAGGACGTGAGGCCCGAAAGGGGTCCGGAGGACGAGGTAGGGTGGGCGGGAAGACGGAGAGAGGGACCCGCAGGTGCAGAGGCTGGATGGGCGTAGTCGGTGAGAACAGACCACCCCCCGGGGCCGCAGATGGGAAGGTATGAATGGGGCTCTGGGTCAAGGGGCAGCAACCCGAGGAGGATGGAGAGGAGGCCTTTGGGCTCCCTCGGGTGTGATGTAGGGACACCTGGAGCAAAGCGGTAAGAAGTCTGGGAGGAGGCACCTGATGAGCTGAGCCCTCCAGAAGGAGCGGGCCGAAAGTCAGGAGGACCGGGACGCTGACTCTGGGAGCGTTTGGCCGGGTGGGAGCAGAGCCCCTAGAGGGGACGGGCGGTAAGATGAGTCGAGGTCAGGGACCCAGGGAGGTGGGAACCCAGGGCGAGTGGGCGCTATCCAGGCCGCCCCGCGGCAGGTGGGCGTAGTGGGGGTGCGCCAGGTGGGGAGCCGTGGTGCTGGGGGTCGCAGGGTGGGGGGGTCCACGGGCCAGAGCAAAGCCCCCGGCGGGGAAGGCAGGTCTCAGAGCCAGCGCAGAGGCACCCCGGGCTCGGGCGGACACGGTCCCCGCGGCGAGAGGGAGGATGCCGGGTCGGCCCGCAGGGAGAGAGAAGGAGCCGCGGACGCGCCTCCGCCCCTTCTCCGCCCGGCCGCGGGTCGCCGGCCCCGCTCCCTCCCGCGCTCGGTACCTGGGGCGCTGAGCGCTGCTCCGCCGCCGGCGACTGCGGCAGGAGCCGCGGGGCCAGGAGAGGAAAAAGCGGCCGCGGGCCGGGCAGGCGCCCAGGGACTGGGAGACTCCGCGAGGGGCCGGCGCACACGGAAGAGCGGTGGCTGCTTCCAGGAGCGCGCGGTCCCCGCGCCGCGGAGCCTGCGCCCAGCCCCGCGGTGGGCGGGGAGAGCTGAGCCCAGGACTCGCAGGCGGGCGGGGTTCCTGGTACCCCCAGTTCTGCAGAGGGATGACCCGAGCACTCCGGCTGCGCCAGGTCGCCTCCCAGCTCTAGCAGCCTCCACCCCCCTCATGCCCCTCCCCACCCACACGGGGCACAGGAGGATCTCGGAGGAGGAGGCTGTGGCCCGCCTTCACCCAGGGCTGCTCCCCATTGTGGGGCTGCCTACCCACTACCAGGGGGAGCCCGCTGGGAGGTATTGGGCAGATCGCTTGACATCTATGTACACATATATAATACTACACACACGTACATATATCTATTGTATGTAATATGCCATAGCCTATATAATACTTCCTTCAAACCTTTAAACAGATGGCTACCTCCCCCTCACAATCCTTCCGAGCAGAAACCATCCTGCCCCCTGACAGCTCCCGGCGCTAAGGATGAAGACTCTGAGGTGTTGGCACTCCCAGTCTACCCAAGAGTGGGAACAGATTGGGGAATCCCCTGGCCAGGTGGGGTGGAGTCACTGCAGGTAGAGGGGTGGGGCGGGGCACACCCTGTGCAACGCTGCTGTGTATTCCACCCACCCCCAACCAGAACTAAGAAGGGTCTCTACCTGACATGTCACAGTTTGATATCGTGGATTCAACAAACATTTATACTGAGCACCTACGAGGTGTCAGGCACTGTTTTGCCCAATCTGGACACTACAGTAACCAAAACAAAGATGCAACTTCATTGAACTTACAGTCTATCGGAAGGAGACATACAATAATAAGCATAATAAACGTTTAAAGTAGTCATAGAGTGATAATTGCTATAGAAAAAAAGGAAATGGAGAGGAATGTAAAGCGAATCTAGGGTAGAACGGGGTCTTTTCCCCTCCACAGGAGCAGGAAAATATTACCTCCCATGTTTAAGGTTCCTGCAGTTATTCCAGGAACTTTATTATACTATTCCTACCAATACAATAACGCTAAGAGGTAGGTGTTAAACTGGGGCTCAGAGAGGCCAAGGGCCTCACTCAAGGTCACCAGCAGCTAGTGATCAAGTGGAACTGAAACTCGGGTCTGCCCAATGATGTCCAAGGCAGAGAATCTTCAAGACCCTGCACACCCCCATGCTCCCCCCAAACCACTATTTGGCACCCAGAATCCCAGCCCTGCCTGCAGATGGGTCTATGCAGCAGGAGGAGGACTGTTCTCCCTCCCAATGCCACCTGCACCACTGTGACAATTTCTGTCGTGCCTCAAGGATCAGGATACCAACCACTGGGCAGAGAACCAGAAAGACCAGACTTGGGATCCCAGCTCCACCGCTAACCAGCTCTGTGGACTTAGGGTTGGCGACTCCATCTCCTTGGGCCACTGTTTTCTCCTCTGCAATAACTAGCAGAACAATGCAGCACCCACTTACAGGGTTGTTGGTGTCACCTGTAAATTTTACAGTGCTGTGTCAATGCTGGCTATTGGCCTCAATGTTCCCATCTGTACAACGGGAATGCATTCAGCTCTTCAGTAACTCCTTCAGCCCAGGGATTTTCGATGTGAGCAACAGCAAACTGAGAAGTGCTGTGTGGAACACACTTTGGAGCCCAGTGACCTGGGTTTATAATCCTGATTCTGCTACTTGCTCTGTGACCTTGGCAAAGCCTCTTCATTTCTCTGCTGCTATGAAACTGGGGTAGTGGAGATATACATGGGGTGAGTATTTAAACCATTTTGCACAGAGGAGGTGGCCGATAAATTTTAGCTTTGTGAAAATTAAAAGTATATAGTGAAATAGAATATTAGTCCCTCTGCTTTAGCTCTTTCAGTTTGATTCCTTTATTTAAAACACAAAAAACTAGGGGGAGGGAGAGGGATGGACTGGGAGTTTGGGGTTGGTAGATGCAAACTATTACATTTAGAATGGATAAACAACAAAGCCCTAATGTATAGCACAGGGAACTATATTCAATATCCTGTGATAAACCATGATGGAAAAGAATATAAAAAAGAATGTCTATATGTGTATAACTGAATCACTTTGCTGTACAGCAGAGATTGGCACAGCATTGTAAATCAACTACACTTCAATAATAAAATTAAATAGAATAGAATAGAATAATTTTTTTAAATCTAGGGAATTCCCTGGCAGTCCAGTGGTTAGGACTCGGCACTTTCACTTCTGGGGCTGGGTTCGATCCCTGGTCAGGGATCCAAGATCCCAGCAAGCCTCACGTCGTGGCCAAAAAAAAAACTAAAGAAAACATGACCAAAAAAGTTAGCAATAGTTCATTCTTTTTGATAGATTAACAAATGCTTGTTATATTATGAGCTGTACTTTGCTATAATCAACACCAAACACTCCCATTTACCATTGCAACTAAAAGAATAAAATACCTAGGAATAAACCTACCTAGGGAGACAAAAGACCTGTACACAGAAAACTATAAGACACTGATGAAAGAAATTAAAGATGATACAAACAGGTGGAGAGATATACCATGTTCTTGGATTGGAAGAATCAATATTGTGAAAATGACTATACTACCCAAAGCAATCTACAGATTCAGTGCAATCCCTATCAAATTACCAATGGCATTTTTTACAAAACTAGAACAAAAAATCTTAAAATTTGTATGGAGACACAAAAGACCCCAAATAGCCAAAGCATTCTTGAGGGAAAAAAAACAGAGCTGGAGGAATCAGGCTCCCAGACTTAAGACTATACTACAAAGCTACAGTAATCAAGACAATATGGTATTGGCACAAAAACAGAAATATAGACCAATGGTAGAGGATAGAAAGCCCAGAGATAAACCCACACACCTATGGTCACCTAACCTATGACAAAGGAGGCAAGGATATCCAATGGAGAAAAGACAGTCTCTTCAATAAGTGGTGCTGGGAGAACTGGACAGCTACATGTAAAAGAATGAAATTAGAACACTCCCTAACACCATACACAAAAATAAACTCAAAATGGATTAGAGACCTAAATGTAAGACCAGACACTATAAAACTCTTAGAGGAAAACATAGGCAGAACACTCTTTGACATAAATCACAGCAAGATCTTTTTTGATCCACCTCCTAGAGTAATGGAAATAAAAACAAACATAAACAAATGGGACCTAATGAAACTTAAAAGCTTTTGCACAGCAAAGGAAACCATAAACAAGACGAAAAGACAACCCTCAGACTGGGAGAAAATGTTTGCAAACGAATCAACGGACAAAGGATTAAGCTCCAAAATATATAAACAGCTCATGCAGCTCAATATTAAAAAAACAAACAACCCAATCCAAAATTGGGCAGAACACCTAAATAGACACTTCTCCAAAGAAGACATACAGATGGCCAAGAAGCACATGAAAGGCTGTTCAACATCACTAATTATTAGAGAAATGCAAATCAAAACTACAATGAGGTACACCGGTTAGAATGGGCATCAACAGAAAATCTACAAACAACAAATGCTGGAGAGGGTGTTGGAGAAAAGGGAACCCTCTTACACTGTTGGTGGGAATGTAAATTAATACAGCCACTATGGGGAACAGTATGGAGGTTCCTTAAAAAACTAAAAATAGAATTACCATATGACCCAGCAATCCCACTCCTGGGCATATACACAGAAAAAACCATAATTCAAAAAGACACATGCACCCCAATGTTCATTGCAGCACTATTTACAATAGCCAGGACATGGAAGCAACCTAAATGCCCATCGACAGATGAATGGATAAAGAAGATGTGGTATATATATACAATGGAATATTACTCAACCATAAAAATGAATGAAATTGGGTCATTTGTAGAGGCGTGGATGGATGTAGAGACTGTCATACAGAGTGAAGTTAAGTCAGAAAGAGAAAAACAAATACCGTATGTTAACGCATATATGTGGAACCTAGAAAAATGGTACAGATGAACTGGTTTGCAGGGCAGAAATAGAGACACAGATGTAGAGAACAAACGTATGGACACCAAGGAGGGGAAAGTGGCGGGGGTGCGTGGGGGGGAGGTGGTGTGATGAAGTGGGAGATTGGGATTGATATGTATACACTAACATGTATAAAATGGATAACTAATAAGAACCTGCTGTATAAAATAATAAAATAAAATTCAAAAAAATAACTTTTCAAGACTGGGCCTGGGTGGTGGTGCCACCTTGTGGCCACAGTTATTATCTTGAATTTAAGAACTTCAGAAGTTCTGCGTACGCACCTGAATTTGTCATTTCAGTCATGGAATAATACAGTCTTGAATGTCCTTAACATTTCCAGGTAGAGAGGGACCTTCAAGGATGCTCAGTGTTTTATTACTTCTAGCCACAGGGTGCTCCCTTCCTAAAGGAGAAGGCTTGTGCCACAATGGGACAGCTGAGTCTTAGGAAGTCCTCTGTCCCAGATCTCCATGCCTGTCAGTACATAGGGGACCAAGGAGAGCTGTTCATGACAGAGATGGAGAAACCAAGGTCCAGGGAGGTTGTGAGGTCTGCTCAGAGCTGCTCTCGCAGGAGGCATTAGCCAACTGGTTAACTGAGGGCAGGGGTTGGTCTGCTTTGCTCACTGTTGTATCCTCAGCACATATTACGTTGCCATAAATATATGTTCAATGAATTAATGAAGAAAACTATCAGCCCAACCACCAGCAGTTGTGGGCCAATCATTTACTCCCAATAATTATTATTATAATGGCTGACATTCACTGAGGTTCTATTATATGCCAGGCACTGTTCTAAGCTCTACATGTACATTGATTCATTCCCACGACCCTGGGAATGAGGCGGTGCGATCATTATTCCCCAACTTACTAATGGGAAAACTGAGCCTCAGAGATCTTAAGTGACCTGCTCAAGATCACACAGCTAGGAAGTAGCCCTGCCAGGATTTGAACCCAGGCAGACAGGATTTTCCCAGAGGCTCCGAGCATGGGAGGAAAACTAGATGGGAGTTATTGGCTCTATATAGGCAAACAAGGAGGGGAAGCCGGTACTAATTACCCGCCCATCCGGAGAGGGGCCAGCGTGGACAGTGCTGCATCAGTGTTTATCCCTTGTAAAGATTTTCAATCCCGCCACCCTTGCGGGGATTGGGAAGAATGGTGGAAGGGGACCTTCAATTCTTCTTCTGGGCTGTCTTGGTGGTTCAGTTTGAGGTTGGAGAAGAGAAGAATTGGCCGTCACTAATCCACATCTCACTCCCGTTGGCAAACTGGCACAATTAGAGATGCTTCTCTGTTCTCGCAGATCTGGCTCTTCCCACTCGCTGCTCCCACATCCAATCAGCAGCGCCTCTCCTGTGTGGCCCCGCCTCTTTACCATGGCCCTGCCTCCCTAGGCCTCCCCCGCCCCCACCCAACTCTGGTCTCCATCACCTCCTGCTTGGACTACTGCAGTCTCCAGCCGGTCTCCAGCCTCCCCCTCCTCCTCCCCCCACAAGACTCCTTTTCGTCTCGCTGGAACCCAGTTCTGTGCAGACACCTCCAGGGCTCTTACTGAGATGTGAGTGAAGTCTGAACTCTGGCTAGCACTCCACACCTGCCACCAGCCGTGCCAACCCACCTGCCTCCCTCCTTTTCAAGCAGCTCTTATTAATTTCTTTACGTATCTATCCACTTGTACCCCACCTTGTTCCATACACAGGAAGAAGGCCGCTCCTGACCAAGACTCATCCTGCCAAGTTGATGCTCAGGTCTCAGAGGCCTAGTACCAAGGACACCACCCCAGGAAGTCCTTCATTTGGACCTGGTCTCTGAGTACTTTCTCTGTGCGCTCCAGTCAGTCCCCACCTCCAGCTGTATAGAAGGACTGTTAATATGGCCAAGGCTTATCCCTGCCTGACTGAGAGGTCACTGAGGTCTGCGTGCAGGAGAGATATACTTTTCTCCAACCCAATTCCACATCAAAGGACACAGGACCACCCTGGATAGTTGTGTCCTGCACGACACCAAGAAGCACCATTCTGTAGTTGGGACGTACACAACCTACACAACAGTACAGAGCCGCCATGAAGGGAAGGCTTGGTACCCGGAGGAAATCGTGTGTGTAGTACACAACTGTTATCATTAGAGGGCGCTAGACTGGAACCCGCGCGCGCCGCTGCCTCCCAGCCTGGGGGAATCACTCCCAGGGCATAAAGGCCTCAGTTCACATTTGCAAAATGAAGATGCTCCGTGGATTAGAAACAATATATATAAATTGCCTGGTGTTGGTGGTCACAGCAATGTGTGCAAGGAAGAAAGAGAGTCATAGCTCTCACCCATCCCACCAGCCCCGTCTCAATGGAGAATCGGGGGGGCCCCGAGCTCAGCTGCATGCAGGTGATGATCTCAAACCCATAGGGTCATCGTGAAGGGGAAGGGACTCCACAGTTGTCAAGCACCCAGCCCCGCACATAGTAGTTGGTCAGCAAATGGCAGTTACTAAGGTTATACCGAGAAGACTGATTCAGCCAGACTGCCTGGGTTCAAGTCCTACTGGAGACATTTCTCAACCCTGGGCAAATTACTACATCCCGCTGTACTTCAGATGCCTCCTCCATAAAACAAGGGCAGTATTTGCATCGCAGGGTGGTGGTGAGGATTCAGCGAGTTAATTGATATAAAGTACTCAGTACAGCACCCCACCTCCTATATCAATTTGTAACCATTAGTTTTTGTCCGTTTCCCCTTCTCCAGAGGCCAAGCCAGCTGGAGTGCAGGGAAGGGCTGATGCAGTCACCGTGAGGGTGAAGAGGTGTCATGGGCCTAAGGGATCAAAGGTCAAAGACAGAAAAGGGGTTCTGGAGGCCCAACCAACGTATATGCGAGGCCAGAAACAGCCAAGGACGGAGGCAGGAGGTGGGGAGCCAGGAGCCGGCGGGGGGCACATCACGGCGGGAAGGGGAGGGCCACCAGGATGTGGGGAGGGGTGCTCAGGGCTCCATGTGCGTGCAGCCTGACTCCCGCCCCTTGGGGAGCCCTGAGTCAGCAGGGCTGCCCTGTGAGGAAGAGAACACAGGTGTTGAACGAATTTATTCATGAGAAAACTCGGGGTCCATCCTACTGGTTACAAGCTCCAGAGGCTCTTGTCGGAATAGCCGTGAGGGCCGGGGCGCCCCCAGGCAGGGGGCTGGCGGGGCTGGCAGCAGCCCTGGGACAGAAGAGCAGACGCAGGCAGCTGCGGGTACGGAGGGGCGTTCTTCCCTGCCCGCCTGCCCAGCCCCCCACCCCGGGGCCCCGCACCCCCTCTAGGGCTAAAGTGCGGCTGCGAGGAGTGGGGGGAGGGGACTTGGCAGCTGCAGAGCCACAGTGAACACAGCCGCCCCACGCGCCCTCACCCCTCCTCTTCCTCGTTCCTTGAGGCTCATCCAGAATCCATCCCACCCAGGTCCCTCCTGGGAACCTCCGGGGAAGGGAGACCCCTCCCCAGCATCCGATATTCAGAAAGAGCTTCCCAAGAGGGTGAGGCTGGCTCCATCAGCTTTGAGGGGCCTAGAACCTGGGGGGCAGGGAGAGGCACTAAGATCTGGGAGAGGGCGAGGAGGGAAGGATGCCCTCTGGTCGAGGGCGTCATCCCCTCCCCCTGGCCCAGCAAGGCTCCTCCTCCCCTGCCTTCCTCCCCGCCCCCCCGAAAGCCAAGGCAGGCAGGGAGCCTGGCTCCCAGCTCCAGGGCCGGGAGGCAGCAGGGTCCTGCCCAGGCCTGACTCCCAACCATGCCGCTGAGGGAGGGCCACCGGGGAGAAGCTGCCCTGGGGACGGGGGTGCGAGGCCTTTGGGGAAGCCGGTGGGGCTGGAGCGTCCTGCTTCTTTCTGCCAGTGGTCTTCCTAGCCCTGCCTCAGGGCTGCCACGGGCAAGGCGCCCAACCCCAGCTCAGGGCCCGGCCCCACCGAGGGGCCGTGCGGGCCTTGGCGCGTCTTGGACGGCCTCACCCCAACTCAGCAGCTTAGCCAACTATCCCCCTCCCCAGGGCACATGTCTAGGAGGCAGAAAAGAAGAGAACCCCCCTCCGATGAAGAACCCTGAACACCTCTGCTTCTTCCCCCCAACTCGTGAATATATTAAATTGTGCAGCTTGGCGCCAGTCCCACCCCCTTCAGATCTCCGTGGCAACCGGGAAGCATTCCAAGTCCAAGTCTGAATCCAAGTCCATCCAGTGCCAAAGGGGGGCTTCAGCCTCTCCCCCAACTCTTCCCCGGGAGGGTGAGACCCCACATTCCACAGGGAACGAGAGGGGAGGAAGAGTCGGGGGCCTCAGTCCTCAGCCCCCTCTTCCTCTGCATGGGGGGCCCCAGGGGGATCCTCGGGCTCGGGGGGCTGCCCGCCAGGGTGCGGGTGGGAGTGGAGGCCGGGCTGGGAGCCCTGCGCATCCTCGCCCTGCACATAGACGCTCAGCCCCTCGTGACTGGGCTCCTTGCCGCATGCCTGGCAGCTGCAGTGCAGGATCTTTTCCACCAGCTTGTCCACCCTGGGCACCTCCTCATGGCCAGGGCACTCCAAGGTCACCTGCGGAGGGCAGGAGAGAAGGGGAGAGAGGTTTCCAAGGGCCTGGGGCAGGCAGGAAGGCCCCAAGGGTAACACTCCTCATGGGACCAAGAATCCCAGAGACCCCAGAAGCCTGAGGCCACCTGGGACACCTGGGCCTGTCCAGGGGGAGGGGCGTGAGTCCCTGCAGGAGACACCTGACCTGTCTCCTCACGTCCTGCCACTTTCCTGCCCATCCCCACAGTAGCCAGAGGGCACCTTGAGGGGACCCAGGTGGTCCGCCCCTGCCTGAAATTCCCCCCACCAGGGCTCCCACTGCCCTCGCAGAAAAACCGACTCCTGACCCAGGCCACCCAGGACCTTGAGGTTGACCCCCGGAGGACCTCTCTCTCCACCCCTGACCTCCCCCCACTCCCACCAGCTCTGTCCTGCCTGATCTGCCTGAGACTTTGCACATGCCATTCCCTCTGCCTAGGAGGTCCTTGCCCCACCCGTCCCCTCCCCACCGCCCTAGACTTTGCCCACTTAACTTCTATTCAACCTTTGGACCCGAGCCCAGACATCACTTCCTCAGCGAGCCCCTCCCAACACCCCCACCCCCACCCCGCCCAGCCAAGGCTCGCCCTGTACGAGCCCCGTTAGCGTTCATTCTTCCCCTGTTGTCGCGCCACTAGCTGCCCTTTCTTTTTCCTTCCTTCCTCCTTGTCTCTCCCTCCCTCCTTCCACAGAGCACCTTCTCCATGCCAGCTCTGGGGACACAAGGACAGGCATGGTCCTTCAAGGAACTCAGAGTCTAGCAGAGGAAACAGACTTGTCAAAATCACCCAAATGCAGATGAAAAACTGTGCGTGTGACAGATGCTCAAAGCAGAGGTACACAGTGCCTGGGGGATCAGGAAAGGGGTTCTGAGAAAATGATGCCTGAGCCAAGCGCAGAGGAGAATGACTAGAATTTAACTGGGGGGGGGAGGAGGAGAAAGGTAAGCCAAACGGGAAAAGAGCATGTGCAAAGGCCCTGTGGTGGTCGTAAGCAGACAAGATAAGAGAGACTGAAAGGAGGCGGGATTGGTGTCAGGGTCAAGCTAGTGAAGAAGGTGAGAGGGGCAAGATGAAGCTAGAAAGCCTGGTGAGCCAGACCACGCCTTGTGGACAGGCCTTACGGGGTCTGGCAAAGATTTTGGTCTCATCCTATAACAATGGGAAGCCACCGAAAGGATTTCAGCATGTGACTGACATCAGAACAGAGCTTCTTGTCCTGTACATGCTGGCGTCGGACTTGTGAGCCATCACGTGGCAAGGACCATGTCTGTATCTCCAGCACGAGGCTCGAACCCTGCACACAGTGGGGCCTCACTAAGCACTTGTGGCCCAGACCGGTGCCGGCTCTGGGCGGAAGCTGGGCGGGAGCGGGCAGCCGTACTCACGATCTCCCACATGGACTGGGCCGGCATGCACGAGTCGCAGTGCACCAGGGACTCTGTAGACTGCGGGAAGGTATTGGGAACGCTGTAGCTGAAGCACTGTCCCAGGCACGCCCTGCGGGAGGAGAGCCCACCGCGTCCGTGTCACCACGGTGGAGGCGAGAACGGGCAGCCCTGTCCTCTTCCTCCCTCCTGGGCCCGTGTCCTCATCCCTTCCACCCACCACCCCGGGATCCCACCTGTTCTGGATGGACTTGGCCTCACAGCCGCTGTGGCCCACGATCTGGGTGATGTTCTTGGCCTCGCACCAGGCGCTCTTATCCGGGAACAGTGCCAGCTTGTTGATGGGCGGTGGAGCAGCCAGCAGCATGGCGGGGAGGAGAGCCCCCACCAGGACCCGAAGCATCGTGCCCGTGACCTTTGGAGCCCTTGAACTGAGTACAGACTGCAGGTGAGGCCAGCAGGGTCCAGGAGGCTGGGCAGAGGGCAGGGGGGCAGTGGTGTTACAGCGTGGCTCTGACTGCCTGGGTTTAAATCCTACCTCTGCCACTTACTAGCCAAGCACAATCTTGGACAAGTTATTTCTCCTGTATGAACCTCAAAACTGGGGCTGCTAATAGCACGAGCATCAGATGGGTATCATGGAGATTAAACAAGGTATTTCATGAAAAGCCCTGAGTGGAGAGACTAGCAGATCATACACATCCCACATGTGTTAGTTATCTTTATAACTTACTTTGTAGCTTTGAGCAAGTTACTTTTTATCTCTGTGCCTCACTTGCTTCATCTAAAGGGGGATGGTGATGCTGTGTGTGGCAATGATTATTGCAAGTACTAAGCCAGACACTCAGTTTCCAAGCACCCCGTTGCGTATTGAACAATCATTAGCTCCCTCCTCACTGTGATGTTGTGGGTCCTTGAGGGGCTGGCCTGCCAGCAGGTCTCCTGGACATGCTGCCACGGTTGTCAGCAAAGCTAACCATCTTCATGTCACTGTGAATTCTTGTGCCACCTTGGATGCATGGACCTCAGGTGAAAAAACTAACCCCAAACTAGACTACTTCTCGTTTGGATGCCCCATCAGAGCCCCAAGCCCTGAGTCTACACACACATCACTATCTCCAGCTCCAACCTCACACCTGAGTCAAACAAGAGGCGAGGCAGTCCAAGCCAAGGGCTTGACCCTCTGTGAATTGGATGGAGCGAGGCACTAATAAGGCAATACCAGAATCTGCCAGGAGATGGCGGTGCAGGGCAGAGTGTGTTTCGCAAGCATGGACTCAAAGGGGATTTTCCCAATGTTCCCCAACTTCATCTTCTGTAGGTTTCGCCCACTCTCCCACTGCAAGAACTGTGGAGGAGGGAGGCTTCAGAGAGATTCGGAAATGAGGGCAATGCTCACAAAGGGGTCCTCTGGGGGCAGGACACTGGGGAAAAGGCACTGGACTGGGAGTCTGGAATCCACACATGCTGTGGGACCCTGGACACTGTGGCCTGTGTCCCCACCTGTGAAATGAGTGGGGTGCCCTGGACTGGTGGTTTCCAAACCTGGTAGAGCGTCAGAATTCCCTGAGGACTAGTGAAGTGAAAGTTCTAGGGTGGGGTGGGATTCTGCATTTTTTTAACGAGCTTCCAGGGTGGTTCTTATATGCAGGCCAGGCTTAAGAAGTGGTCCAGCTCGGTCAGCGTCTTGGGACAGTCCCCAGAGGGGCCTGGGTGGGGCCGAAGTGGGAGCAAGGGCCAAGTATGGTCCCACTGGTCCCACAGATGCCCAGTACTAGTCAGGCTGGCTCAGGGCTGGAAATGCCATTCCGAACAACGCTACCCTCAGCCCACCTTCTGCTGGAGTGGCAGGTATTTGGTAAAAAGTCGGGAAGTGAGAGTTGTTGGGGGTCTTGCGCGCTCCTGCAGGCTAACTACGTGGGCTGACTCAGCTGGGCTTGCAAGGAGGGCCCAGGCCGGCCTGCGGAGCTGTGAGTGCCTCTGCAGCGCCCCGCTCTCTCTATCCAGCAAGCTCTGCTCAGGTCCTGCCCCTTCTCCCTGCAGGAGGTCTCCGGAAGCAGAGACAAGTCCCACCTCACTGGATCTCAACGCCTGGGTGACCCCCACTCCCAGCCCAGTGGGGAAGGGTGAAGAGGGGAGAGCAGTGGGAGGTGAGTCCAGACCGTCTGCCCCATCCCAAGGGAGTCTGTGTCATGACCCAGGCTCTCACCCACACATTTCCGGTCTCACTCACAAGGTGGGCAGCAAAGCCCATGTTTTCAGTACAGCCACAACCTAAACAGAATGGACTTGTTCCTAACCGGCAACCTAATTTTTCAACACCCTTAGCATCCAGGAGGCTTTCTCACCCCACCAGGTCCTTTTCTGTCCCTGGGGAATTAGCCTCTGCACCAGGGTCCGACGACCGTAGCACACCAGCGGAGACCCACCTAAGGCCAGAGCTCCCTGGGCCTCCCCAGGCGAGACTGGCCCCTAGAGACCTCAGAGAGGTCCGGGGACGTTTGTCCTATGCCTGACCCCATCAGGATCCCTCAGGAAGGCCAGGTCAGGTGGGGCAGAGGGTGATAGGTTTCCTTAGGCTCGGGAACGGAGCCTGAGGTTGTAATGAAAGTAGCCTGGAGATGAGCGCTGGGGCTGGTTTGGGGTTTGGAATAGGAGAGGTTAGGACTGACGCTATGGGCCAGGCTAAGGGGGAGCGGAGTTGAGATGGGGGCTGAGGTTAATAACAAGGTGTAGTGGGAGATGGGACACCGGTGAGTGTTTCAGGGGAGTCACTGGTCTGGAGGGTGAGGACTGGTTATCATGCGTCAGGTTGTAGCAGACGCCGAGGGGAAATGAGATAAACTGAGGCAGAAGGCCACCTCCCTTATCTACCCCCCTCTCTAGGGCACAGCTGAAGGTCAGCTGGGCCCACAGAGGGGGTGCTATAACCCAACCCACTGGGCCCGGCCTCTCACCAAGCCCTGGCTGGGACCTCAGAGGAGGGGCCAGGCCGCGCTCAGCCTCCCCAGGCCAGCAGCCCTGAGCTCCAGCCGAAGCATGGCCCCGGGAGCCTCCTAAGTTCAAGTCCCAGGCCTCCCACCTAGGAGCTGCGTGACTTCCGGAAGTACAGTCTGCCTCTCTGCACCCACCGACCTCAGCCCTAAAACGGGGAGCAGAGCCCTTTCCTTGAAAATGACTGGGAGGATGCGATGAAAGCACCCAGCACCCAGCAGGGACCCACCTCAGGCCAGTTCCCTTCCCCCGGGGGGATGGTGGGGAGGCCTGGGCTGGCATCAGAGCCAAAGCTGGCCGCTGGAGCAGGGAGCCGGGGGGGATGCAGGGCCGGTCTCCCACACACGCCCCCGTCCAGCCCCCAAGAACCCCTGCTGCCCCCCCTTCACACTGGACTCGGCTCTTTGCTAGCAGGTTTTATTTTTTGTTGGCTTGTGTTTTGTTTTTTCAGGCAGCAGCTCAGCTGATTTTTTTTTTTTTTTGATCCAGCAGTCGGACCTTCCTTCCTGAGACTTGAGAGCCTCACCCAGATTCTCATCCCTTCCTCCCGCCCTGAAGGTCACACGACAAGTCACGGGAGTCCCAGAACGCCAGGGCGGGAAGGGGATCCCCCAAGCCGATCCTCTTGCTTTGCAGAGGGGTCGTCCCGAGGCCCCCAGCAAGTCAGGCCAAGCAGTGCCCTTCCCCAGGCCAGGCGGTTCCCCGCAGCTTGACAGTGGTTTACCAGGCACCTTCTAGGAGGGCGGAGAGGGCAGCGAGGGTGGGGGCCTGGGGAGCTCAGAGCCTGGAGGGGAGGTCGAGGGAGGTGGGTGAAGAGGAAGCAGCTGTTCAGTGCGGGGCAGTCGGACAGCTGGAGGGGCCGGGGGAGGAGAGCTTCTCAATTCTGGATTGAACTCAGGAGCACAATTAGTTACCCGTGGTTGAGGGAACTGCACAGGCAAGGCCAGAAAGGGGGTTTACGGGTATCAGCCCAGCACAGCCCTCCCAGCCTCCTAGGAGTAAGAGCTGCTGCCAACTGTGGGCCAGATACCGTTCTAAGGCTTTTATGTATATTCACTTATTTGGTCCTTAGAACAACCCTAGGAGACAGATATGGAATTTCCCCCATTTTACGGATGAAGAAACCGAGGCACTGGGTTTGCAAAAGAGATTTGCCCAAGCTGACACAGTTAGCATTCACTAAAGCTAAGATTTGAACTAGACAGCAGCAGGGTAACCACCAAGAGTTTCACAGAAGAGGAAGACAGGGTGACGGGGAATGACCTGGAGCAAGCAAGAGACCGGGGCTTCCCGCCCCAGCAGCTGCGTCTCTTACCCGTCAGCACTCCGGGGCTCAGCCACAGCCAGGGTTGGAAGCATGGGCGCCCCATGGGGCAGAGTTCAAATCCCAGCCTGGACTCCCCTGCAGAGAAGCACGCGGCCGTGGCCAACCCCTGGCTCCCCGGAGCCTTGCAGAAGGTACGGTGCCGCCCTTCCTCCGAGTTGTGGGGAGGCCACAACCAGGGCACCCTCAGCCCAGGGTGGGTACCTTCCTATCACCCCACCGTCCACTCCCCAATCCAAGCCCTCCGGATCCTCAGAGGCCTTGTGCCGACACCTGACACATCTGAGGCTGCCAACAACACAGAGAGAAGGCCCCTGGGGGAGGGGAGGGGACACAGCCGACCCACTCCAGCCCCGTGGAAACTGAGGCACAGAACAAGGAAGTGACGGCCCATGTCTCCCACGCAGGGGACGAGGGCAGTGAGCAGACACAGGACACCTGCCCCGGAAGCTTCCTGGGGAAGGACGGGGGTGGGGCAGCAAGAACTCAGGCTTCGGGGTCAGGCCTGTGGAGTCCTCTCTACGTTTCACGCCTACCAGAACCTAGCATCTTCCCTGAGATGCTTGCCAACAACTCAGAAGCCCGGGCGCCAGCCCTAGATATCCCGACCCCACACTCCCAGGCATCTGTATTCACTCCCACATGATTCTGAGGACCAGCCAGGTCAAGAGCCCCCCAACTCCCCAGGGAAGGGTCCCCCGTAACAGCAATGCGGACAGGGGTCACCCACCCCACTGCCTAGGCCTAGTGCCTAGAATCAAACCTGAAATTCACCAGAGGGGCCTAGATTTCAAGGAAGACCTCTGGCCCGTCCGCACCCACCGTAGAGCACCCATTGCACAACAAGGAGTCGATTTAGTAAAACAAGTGAATAATCACCCTCCCCGTTTCCTCTTTGGGATAAATCTGAATATTCAGGGTCCTTAAGGCCAGGTACACCAGAATGTTCTTGGTACAATGGTCCACTCACCCCCAAACACACACACACACACACACACACACACACACACACACACACACACCAGGCCTTCGGTTCCCAGCAACCAGCCTGGTGTGGGAGCAGCCGGAGGGCAGGGCCAGCAAATGCTTAGAAGAAGGCAAGCCTCTCCCCAGCTTTAACTTCTGCTTTCCGAAACCTCTGGAAATCCTTCCCACCTAGGCCCCGGCAGATTCAGATGGAAGCTTCTACCTGTGGGCTCTGGTGACGTCTGCATTCACACAGAAAGCATGTGGGGTGTGGGGTGAGTTATTTTTCAAACTGATCAGACCAGATGCTCCCAGTCCCTTCCTCTCCCTGTTCTCCCCCCACCCCCTGCCCCACCCTGACACACACAAAGGGCCGGGTCTGGGTCTCCTTTATTCACAACGGACTGTGACAGACCCCAGTTCAAACCCTAGCTCAGCCCCTTTAACTTTTCTGTGCCTCAGTTTCCTCACCTGCAAAGTGGGGGTAGCTGCCTCTTAGGGCAGTTGTGAGAATTGAACTGAAGAGGGCATGGAAATTTCAGGAGAGGACACCTGTCACAGGATGTCCTCAGCAGAGGTCACTACGAGTGCTAGCTTTGAGTCACCCAGGGCTGCTTACCCTCCCTGAACTCTGCCTACACCCTTCCGTCTCCCCCTCCCCCCTCCCCCACACCCCTTACCCTCCCCTCCCCCTCCCCCTTTCCCCTCCCCTCCCCCTCCCCCTCCCTCCCACTGGATCCTGAATGCGTCCTGAGAATATCTAAACCCCGGGGTTGCATCTGCCTCCAAGAAAATGGGTTTAGGGGAAACTCAAATAAGATGATGGCTGGGCGAGGGTTTTATGAACTGTCTGTGCTGCCAGGGTGGGAGCGGAGAGGAAGATCCCACTCAGACTCTAATTCTTGGGCCACTGACTGAAGGGAAAGGCTCCCAGAGAGACCAGCAACTTCGAGCAAACAGGCTGGGCCTGGCTGCCGGGGCGTACATGCTGCTGGGTGCAGAGGGTGTGGCATCTGTGGCCGCAGCCCTAGGCTTGGGGGTCAGCAGGAGTGAGGCAACCGCCGCAGGTCTTGGAATGAGCGCAGGGGACTTCCTTGAATGGTGCAACTGAAGGGAGGGGCGAGCCAGGGTCAGACCCCAGCCCTGATCAGCTCAGCAGGCCCACTCTGGGGTCCCAGGACAAGTTCAGGCCCAAGCTCACCCGCTGACTCCCTGTGTGCCTGGAGGCAGGACAGTACAGTGTTTACAGGCCACTGACCACTCGTTTCACCTGCCCAGGCCTCCCATTTGCCCCTGTGCAATGGGAAGCACGGCCTGGGAAAGTCCATCCTAGCAGATTCCCTCAAGAGGAGCCTGGCTCCAGCGCGCTGCTTAAGGCCACTGTGATTCCACGACCCCAGTCACCACAGGGTGGCTTCCTTCCTTCCGTCAGCGCTGGCAGAGCATGAACCAACCGTCCAGGGGCGGACACGCAGGGCCAAGCCCGTGCCCCAAAGGCCTGCCCATCTCTGCCAAGCAGCTCCACCTCCCTGGCTACAGCCCCCCAGCCCAGACCACGGCCCGCCTGCCCGCAGACCCTCCTGACTGAAAACTGTCTCCAAAACAAATCGATGCTAATGAGCTGCTGCAGGGCCGGCCTACACATCTGCTCAGCAGAAGTCCCACTGCAGACTTCACCAGCATCCCTGCCCGCTCCCGCAGTCTGCGACCCTTGGGGGTGGGGGTGGGGAGAAGGAGAGAACTCAGTTGGAAATTTCACTCTAAAAGGATGAAGATATATGCGGCTAATGCACAGCACATCCTCCTGGGTCCACCCTCTAGCACACAGGCCCAAGAGAAAGAGGTCCAGCTCGCAAGGGTGGGGATGGGGGGGTCACCGACGAAATGCTCCAGCCTCGCCTTTTCTTTGGCCCCAACCAAAGGCAAACCACACCCAAGCGGCCCCAGCAACTGGAGGAGTTTCAGGAGGCTGGTGGTTTCCACAGTAACAAAGGGTGAGGGGCTCCTTGTTGACAAATTGCTTCCCCACCCCCATCCCCCGTCAGCGCCCAGCCTTTGGCCTCCGGCCCTGACCTCTGTTTTCCTGGGGTTCCCGTAGTTACAGGCTGGTGTCCTCCAGCTGGGCGAGGACCTCGGAAAGGCTGAAAATGTGCCCTTCTCCCCGGGTGCCGGCCAACCCCCTGGCCACGCCAAGGCGGCCAGCTGCCCCCTTTACTGCGGCGTGTAAAAGAGCAGAATCGCCCCGCCCAGGGAGCGGGGCGGGCAGGTGGCCGGCAGCACAGTCCAGTTGTCCAGGCCGCCTCGCGGGGGTGGAACGCTTAAGAAAACTGAGCCCCCGGAAAGGCTGGCTCCCCTGCCCCAGACTCAATTCCAGGGGGATGACCCAGGCCAGTCCCCCGGGGCAGGCGGAAGGTAGGAGGAGGGTTTCGCTTTTTTTACCAGGTCTAGGAAACTATTCACGAGCCCCGGTGGGGGCCCCGTGCCTCCGACACGGGCTGGGGGCGCTGTCCGAATTTGAGGGCGGGGGACCAGGAAGACGCAGGAACTCAGAGAGAGACTCCCACAGCGGGGCAGGCGGAGAGACGGAGAGAAAACATAAAGGCAGAGGCACAAACCCAGGGAAATGGAAAACAGGCAGAAGCGGAGAAACAGAAAGAAAGGGGCCAGAACCAGAGAAAGAGAGGAACGGAAATAGAGAGACGGAGACACGCAGATGGGGAGACAGAAACACAGAGAGAGACAAAAAGGAGGCAGAAACGTACGGGAGTGGAGAGGCTCGCGGCGCGGCGAGGCCCGGACAGAGCAGCGGGGACGCGCGAGCCCCGCGGCCGAGCTCCGGGCGCTGCCCCGGCGGCCGCGCGGCCCGACCCGCCCTCGACCCGCCCGGCTTTCTCTCGGCCGCGCATCTCCCTCCCTTTCTCTCTTGGCCGCGGAACTCCTACCGAGAAATGGAAACCCCTGTTGAGTCGGGGGACCGGCTCGGGGCGCAGGGGTGCTCCCTGGCCACCCCGTGCCGCGCCCACGTCCCCAGACCCGGCGCCCCGAGCCCCCAGCGCTCCCGGGCTCGGCGGCGGCGCCTCCGCACGGTGCCCTGGGCTGGCGGGCGGGCCGGGGGCGCGGCGCTGCGCCTGCGGCCGAAGCCTCTGGAAGCTGGGAGCCCGCGTGCCGGCCCGGGCGGGACTTACCGCGCGCGCGGCGGCGGTGGGAAGCGCGGCGCGCCCGCCGGTTCCTGCGGAGCTGTCTGCGGGCCGCGGGGGGCAGGCTCGGCGCCCCCGGGAGGCTCGGGGAGGCGGCCGGCAGGGCTGGCGGCGGCCCCGCGAGGCTCGGCTGGGCTGCGCTGCGCGCTGTCTGCGGCCCCGGGCGGGCGCGCGGTGCGGGGGAGCGGCGAGCCGAGCGGCTCCGACGTCAGGGGTGTCTCCGCTCCAAATAGGGAGCGAGGGCGGGGGCAGTGGAGGGAGGGACGCGAAAAAGAAAGAGCGGGCGGGCGCGCTGGGCCGCTCCCTCCGGGCGCGCAGGAGGGGGCGCCTCAGCCGCCCGGGGCCCCGGCCCCTTCTCCCCGTCGCCCTCGAGCCCCGGGCCGGGCTCCGGCGCGGTCCGACGGCGCGGCGGAGCTACCGGGGCCGCCCTGATCGGCGCCCTAGGGGCAGGGCAGAGAGCCCGGTGCCCCGGCTCGTCCTAAAGCGCCCTCCGCCGGATTTCTCTGCGCTCGGACTTCTCTCTCAACTTTCCCCCAGCCCGGCCATCGGGCCGTGCCAGGCCTCCGGGTGACAAAGATGGAAGTATTCCTTTTTGTGGGAACCGGGTGCTGCAGTCTTGCTCCGAGGGTGTGGCGCCCCAGTCCACCGAGCCGCGGCACCAGGAGACTGTCCTCCCTCAGTCCTGCGGTGCGCCCAACCTATCCGCTCCCGGCCGTGCGACCCGGGGCTGGTCCGCGCTCTTAGTTCCCTAGTGTCACTTGACCTCCGCCCGGCCTCGCCTCAGCGCCAGGCACTTGGCTTAAGTGTGCAGAGAAGGGTCTGAGCGTCCCGAGAAAGACTATCCGGAACGTCGGAAACTGAACTCACTTCTCTGACTCCTGGGAAGAGCAGAGCGCCCAGCGCGGCGTCCCAGCCTCAGCTGTTGGGTACGGGGGTACCCAGCTTAACAGCCTGTACTTGGGCACTCGGGCGGGTTTCGGTCGTGCCCTCTCTGTTTGGTGTGCCAGTGAAGTGAGAAAATAGCTTTGCTCCTGGAAAGTAGTAGCCCGGTCCTGAGACAAGATTTAGGAATTTTGCGTTCTACCACAGTGGTGGGTGTCCATGCATCTCACCCCAGCCTGGCTGGAAGCCCCCAGATGGAAGCAGCCCTGCTCATCCAATGTCACAGGTTGCCGAGCATCCCGGTGGCTCCTAGTGGCCTGTCGATAATTCCATGGTGTACACTGACCTATCTGCCTCCCCAAACCCAGTATTGCGTCTCTATGCCTCCTAGCTCTTGCTTGTGCTGTTCCCTCTGCCTGGGGTTCCCTTCCCCTCCTTTCATCTCCTAGTAAAGGCATTCTTCAAGCACCAGATTGGAAAGCCTTCCCAAGACCCAAGTAGCATAAACCCCTCCCTTCTACGGTGTGATCCTGGAAGCACAGGATACATACCCTCTGTTCATGGTAATTTCCCTCTAGACTAGTTGATCTCTTTCCTCCACTTGACTGTGGGCTCCTTGAGGGCAGGGATCACCTGTGTCAGTGTCCCCAGGGCTTGGCAAACAAGGGGTACAATATATTTGGCTGAACTAAGTAATTAATATCCCCCATAAATGTTTCCATGAGTGTAACTGTAATAATGCTCATAATAGCTCAGGCATACTGAGCACCTTCCTATACTACGTGCCTGGTCCCATTCTAAGCACTTTCCACCCACACAACAAATCTGTGAAATAAACAGAATTGTTACCCCCATTTCATAAGTGAAAGTACCAAGACCAAGAGAGAGGTTAAGCAACTGGCCTAAAGCCACACAGTAAAGGGGATGCCAGCTACCGTCTGCTGGAGGAACACATCCCACCAGGTGTAGCCTCACTGCCTGGTACACAGTAGGCACTCAGGAAACACTGACCATTGTGCTCACCACTGCCACTCTCAATGTGCATCCCAGGTGGGGTGGGGACTGGATGTCTACATTTTGTAAGAACCCACCCCACTGTAAGAAGCCAATTGGGTAGCCTGATGAGTTTGTCAAGTCATACAGACAGCCTGAAGTAGAAGCCCTTGACAGTTCAGCCACCCAGCCACCTAATCAAGGACATGGGGTTTGGGATTGGGTCACACCTGTCTGGTGAAGACTGGTAATTACAGGAGGGCTACCATGTGAACAAGGGGTCTGGAAAGTAACTTGTTAATACTATCAACAGCTATCACTTTGTGCCAGGCATTATACCAAGCACTATGCCTGCTTTATTGTACGGAAACCTGACCATAATCCTATCATTATTCCCATTTTACAGATGAGAAAAATCAAGGCATCAGAAGCCTAGTTACCTGCCCAAGATCACACCACTAGTGATGGACAGAGTCCAGACTTGAATCCAGACCCAGCAACTGCAAAGCCCCTGCTCCTTTGCCCACCACACCCTCTTGACTGCCTCAGAGCCCCTCCATCAGGCTGCAGCAAGGATGCTGCACCACCAGGACCCAGGGTGGTGGGGCCCCAGCAGGAAAGGCAGAACCTGTCACGTCAGAGTCTCCAAGCACACGGAGATGCACCTGGTTGGCAGCGGTGCGCCAGTTGCCCCAACAGGCCTGGCTGGCCCTGGGCACGGGCTTGAAGCCAGAGCCTGCTGGCCCTGGGCCCGCCTCTTGGGGCCGAGGTAATGTGGGGCCCAGAGCTGGGGTAGAGGGCTGAAAGCTCTCTCCCCAGCTCATTAGCAAACATCTGGGCTCAGGAAAATGACCGACCTGGAATGTGACTGGGCTACGGGGAGCTGCTCCCTCCCCGAGTCCTGGGAATGTGAGCTCCCTCCCGCAGGGCACGGGCTTGGGCCAGCTGTTTCCTCTAATCCCGTCAGCCTGGCCTCAACAGGGGTCCAAACCTCTGCACTCTCCCGGAGAAAGAGGGAAAACAAAAAAAGGCCTTCTCTCCCAGTCCGGCCCACTGACTCAGAAGGTTGGTATTGGGGCCTGAGACAACCACAGTCCCTCCCTCTTCTGCAAGATAAAGACCAAGAGAGTCCACATGTCCAAATGTGGAGGTGGAAGGGGCCGTGAGGACTCATCACGGAAGGTTCTGGAGTCTTCCTGCTTGGGTTTGAATCCTTGCTCCATCACCCACTGACTCTGTGCCAGTTGTTTCCTGTCTGGGCCTCGGTTTCCTTCTTTGTAAAGTGCAGCTGGTAACGGCATATACTCTCTAGAGTCGTTGCCGGGGCTCTCATTTATTTATTTATTTATTAACATAAACTTATTTGTTTGTTTATTTTTGGCTGTGTTCCGTCTTCATTGCTGCACATGGGCTTCTCATTGCGGTGGCTTCTCTTGTTGCGGAGCACGGGCTCTACGTGCACAGGCTTCAGTAGTTGTGGCACACGGGCTCAGTAGTTGTGGCGCACGGTCTTAGTTGCTCCACGGCATGTGGGATCTTCCCAGACCAGGGAGTGAATCTGTGTCCCCTGCATTGGCAGGCGGATTCTTAACCACTGCGCCACCAGGGAGGTCCCTCTCATTTATTTAACAAATACTTTTGTGCAGACTGTGTGCCAGGCACAGAGGTGTCAGGGACACAGTGGGCTGGACCAACAAGGTCCCAGCCCTCAGGAAGCTTCAGTTCTGCAACAGGGAGGTAGAGCGTGTACGGGTAAAGCAGAATGGGTTTCTCATCATCTAAGTGTCACGGAGGAGCTAAGCAAGCCAGAGTGAGTGATGGGATGGGAAAGCCTCAGAAGACATCTCAAGGAGGCGACGTTTACGGTAAGATTATGATGAGAAGGAGGCAGGATTCAAGGAGATAAATGGATGCAAAGTGCTCGGCACAGTTCCTGGAAAATAGCACGTGCTCCAGAAAATGAAAGCTATTTTAGGGAGGTGTATAGCAGAGAGAAGGCAGGGAGTCAGAGTCCCTGGATCAAACCCAGGCTTTAGCACAAAGCTTTCTCACCTCACTCAAGTAATGCACGTCCTGAGCCTCAGTTTCCTCATCTGTGAAATAGGAATTTTAATAGTGCCCAAGCGCACGCTTACTGGGAGAATTCACTGAGGGACGTGTGCGTGAAGCACAGAGCCTGGCACCAGCTCGGCCCTTAGGAAGTGAAAGCTACTAGTGTCGTCTTTTCCTTTCCCACGGAGGAAAAGGATTTGCCTACGTTCACTCAGCGAGCCAGTAGCAGATCCAGGAGCAGAATCAGATCTTCTAACTCTGAGCCCACCCCCTGGGCTGGCTCTTGCCTCCTCCTGTCCCTGGGGGCTCAGAAAGCCTCTGGGCCCCATCTTGGGCTCAGAGAAAGCAGGAGGAGGTGACAGTGCACTATAGGGTCTGCCCCTGAAGGCTACTGAGGGTGTGGGAGGTACGGCGTTGGCCGACTGGAGAGCAGAAATGAGGCCCCAAGGGGAACTGGTCCCCTGGAAAAATGTCAAATGCCCTTTGTAGGTAGGATGGGAGACCAAAAATCAAGAGGGATTAATTGCTAAGAAGGGGGAGATGAGAAGAGAGGAAGGTCAGAGATGAGATCTAAATTCGGGGAATTTCAGAGTGGAAATTTAAACTCAAGTCGGTCTGACTCCAAGGAATGTCCTTTCTCCACTCCAGAGAGGCAGTGGTGGTTATGGCTGTTTCCTCATCTGTAAGAATGAACATACCAACGTCACCAGGAATGTGACCTAAATGCCAGGGACAGGGTGCCAGGGGCTACCCCCAACCCCTCACTTTGCTCCTTGTTTGTTTGCTTCCTCCCGCCATCACTCTCCCTGTTTCTTCAGCTGGGGCTGCCTGACCCCACGGTAACAACCCACCCACCTCCAAGTGACAGCACCAGAGCCGGGCTCTCAGGGAAGGGCCTTGTGCCTGGAATTCCTCCACCCTGTGGCTGTGGTAAACACGGTGAACAGGGCTGCCAGGGTGGTGGGCAGCGTTAGGCAAGTCAATTCTTTTACAATGTCCCTTCTCCGTTGTTTCTTCC